TTTACCATCGTTCATTTGAAAACACGCTTCTTTTTAATTTTATTTAACACAAGGAATTTCCAAAGGAATAACCTCTAGTGAAGTGGTCAACAGCTGGTCCCACCTACAGCAGTTAAGTCAGAACCGTCGTAAGCACACGCGGGAACACCCCAATCCGCAGCCTAAAAAACGCACGTGGGCCGGGAGATGGATGTGGAAAACGGCGAGGGGCAGGTGCAGGTGCACCTGAAAACCAAGCAGGAGCAGTGAGTGTCCATCTAGAATCTGTCCCAATGTAAAACGATAATCAAGATACCCTATTCCAGCTATGCCGTGCCGGACGTGCCGTATGCCATCGATGGAACCGTCACCACCGTAGAGCTAAACACATTCGTGAACGCACTTTTGCGCCAAAAAGATGGCTCGTCCGACACCGACTTTGACTTCCTGGTGTTTGATGAGTACTTGCGCGGCCGGCTGTGCGATCACCTGCGGGAGAAGGCCATCAGCTTCGAGGACGCCATCGAAATCGAGTACGTGGAGCGCTTTCCGGCACCAGAGCCTCAGGATTGTCTGCTTCACGACGACTGGGTGTCGGCGGTGAAAGCCAGTGGAAAGTGGATCCTCTCCGGCTGCTATGACAACACCCTGAATCTGTGGACAAACAAGGGCAAGCACATTCTCACTATCTCTGGTCACACGGCGCCTATCAAAGCGGTGGACTGGATATCGCTGGACGAGGAGACGGGACGCTTTGTATCCACCTCGCAGGATCAGACCGCCATGCTGTGGCAGTGGAACGTGGGCTCCAACTCGGTGGAGTGCGTCTCCGTGTGCAAGGGTCACGAGCGAGGCGTCGATAGTGTCAGCGTAAGTCCGGATGGCCTGAGATTTGCCACGGGCTCTTGGGACACTATGTTGAAGGTGTGGTCAGCAGAGCAGGAGGATGCGGCCGAGGGCAGCTCGAAGCGGATGAAGGAGAGTGGTGTGAGAGTGAGTAGTCTTTCACATTAATAAATAGGTTTATACTCAGCCTTATAGTTCCTTTTAGACCCCCAAAATTACGCTGCAGGGACATCGTGAGAGCGTTTCCGCAGTGCAGTGGATGGATGCCTCCACTCTGCTAACTGGCAGTTGGGATCACACACTCAAGGTGTGGGATCTCAGCCTTGAGGGCATCAAGACCGAAATATCCACCAACAAGTCCATATTCGATGCGAGCTACTCAAAGCTGAATCGCCTGATACTGACGGCTTCGGCGGACAAGAATCTGCGGCTCTATGATCCCAGGACAAACCGTAGGATCTGATTCTCCAATATTACCAATGAACTTACTCCTAACGAATATAATTCTGCTCTTTCAGAGGGATCTGTGGTGCGGAATACCTACCTGGGACACAATGCCTGGGTGCAGACCGTCATGTGGTCCACCACAGAGGAGTTCCTATTTGTCTCCGGCGCTTATGACAACCAGAACAAGCTGTGGGACTGCAGGAGTCCTAAGGCCCCACTTTACGATCTGCTGGGTCACGGCGAAAAGGTCCTGGACATCGACTGGTCCAATCCCAAGTACATAGTCTCCGGTGGTGTCGATAACACGGTGCGCGTATTCAAATCACGCAAGGCGCTAGCAGAAGATACGGAGGCGAAGTAATTCTAAAATTTGTAAACTTTTTATAAATACACAACTAGTTTAAACTTTAAAGTAAATATTGAAACAATATTGCATATCGTGTGCTACACTTAAATTGACGAGGGCGGTAAAGCGCAGAGAAGCCCAAAAATTCGAACTTACGGGTTAAATATTCTTGTTCACAATTTGTTTAACTGTAATCAGAAAATTGTTACAAATTTTAAATTTTGCAAATGTTTTGAATCGGAGCTGCGGAGTTGCCAGAGAGCTGAAAAGGGCAAAAGAGGTTGCCAGAAGCTGAATATCGATAGCGCGCTAGCGATGAGCAGCCGCGCGAGCGCCTAGAGACGGACCCGGAGCGATAGCTCGCTACAAACATACAAATTATCGAGTTTCTAACAAAGATAAAGACGGCTCTGCGTCGCCTCGTAATTTGCCAACTGTAATTTTAGCCAAATAACAGCGATCGCGACAGTGAACCGCCGAGGAGTTGGAGCGCCCACACTGCCACCCACCGAGGACGCCAGCAGAACAGCCGTGCACCCACTGCGAAGGCCGTGTGCGCGAGAGTGCGAGCGAGAGGGCAGCAGGCGACACAGGCAGAATCATTTTCGCAAGTGTTGTGATAGAAAAAAGTGAAAGAAACTGCGATAGTGAGGTGTGTATAGTGCAGCAGGGGCTGGTCCTAAGATAGACCACCACCGAATCGGCGTCCAAATTCCGCGAAATTGTGCAATCGAGCTGCAGGCGGCGGAAGCAGCGCCATCATCATCATCATCCTCCGCTGTCGGCGGCGGCATTTTGCAAATGTCTGCTGATTGATTTTTTGCGGCATGCAGCACATGCTCTCGAAACTCACTGGGCAAACTGCTGTCCAGCTATCACCTGATCCTGGTCGGGAGTAGCACCCACCAGCTCGACTACAAATCCCTGGCAAATCCCACTTTTTCCAGCCGGGGGTTTGCCAAAATGGCCGCTGCCGCTGCTCAATAGAAATGCGTGCGTTTGTGCGAAAAAAGCAAACCCCTGTCGTCATAAAGGGCACAAACTGGGTGGAAAACCAGGTCAAGGACCCTGGAGAAACCCCGGCCAAGATTTGCGTACAATTGCCGGTCTCCACTGGCCCCACTTTTCACTCCCAGCGCTCATCCTACACACAAATAACACTTTAAAACTAAATTTCAATCTACAATTTAGTGTATCAAATTGCCTACGTTGATTACATGTCACGGCTTAACATTTCACCAGTTCTAATGAAGTTCCTTTTTGAATCAGTAAATTAATAGGTTTATTTGAATCCCCTAAATCTTAAAAATGTGGCCCTAATCGTTGCTTCTTTACTTTCGGAATTGGTTAGACTTGATTATAAACCGTACTGTGTTATTTCATTGGAACCATATTCTAACCGTGCATTCATCTACTCCTTGCAGTTCGAAGGAACACGACCAAAAATGTCTTCAACCCCAGCAGCGGGCAGTGCCGCCGAGGTGGCCACCTCCAGTGCCACCTCAAATGCGCCTAGTGCACCCAGCACAACGGCCAGCAATGTGAACAATCCCAGCCAGCCGACGTCTGCCGGAACGCCGCAGGCACGTGGTGGCAGGGGCAGCAACGCCAACGGAGGTGCCTCCGGCAGCAATGCAGGCGGCGGCGATGAGCCGCGCAAGGACGCCAAACCAACGCCCAGAATATCCAAGGCGCTGGGAACTTCGGCCAAGCGCATACAGAAGGAGCTGGCCGAGATCACACTGGACCCACCGCCCAACTGTAGTGCCGGGCCCAAGGGCGACAACCTATACGAGTGGGTCTCCACCATTCTGGGACCACCAGGATCCGTCTACGAGGGCGGCGTCTTCTTCCTCGACATACACTTCTCGCCGGAGTATCCCTTCAAGCCACCCAAAGTCACGTTCCGCACGCGCATCTATCACTGCAACATCAACAGCCAGGGCGTCATTTGCCTGGACATACTCAAGGACAACTGGTCGCCGGCGCTGACCATATCAAAGGTCTTGCTGTCAATTTGCTCCCTGCTCACAGACTGTAATCCAGGTAAAAGATTTCGCTTCCTAAGGCTGTAATAAATATGATTTCATAAATATATATTTCACTATTACAGCCGATCCGCTGGTGGGCAGCATTGCCACGCAATATTTGCAGAATCGTGAGGAGCACGATCGAATTGCGCGTCTTTGGACAAAAAGGTAAGTTGCCACTAGGAAACCGAGTGAACCAACTAATCTGTGCAATCTGTGTGCTCGTTTTTTAGGTACGCAACATGATGCGTAAGTTCTGGCATCGCACATGTACCACAAACCGAAAACTGCAACAACAGAAACGAAAATTCGCATCTTGCAACGGAGAAAGTCTATTTTATAAATATATATTAAAATACGATAACTAATAATTTAACAGTAACAACTACCGTAACACGAACAGCAACCGCCAACAGCCAGTCGATCCACTTCAGTCTATATTTATATCGCGTTAACACAGAAGTTGTAAAAACATTTGGAGATTTCTTGAGTTGTATTTTTCGGAAACTAGTTTTGTTTTTAGATCGCTTAGCAACCGAAAACATTGTAACGAGTCAAACGAGAGGAACACATTCGATGAAAAATTGCATCATAAATTGCACATTGACATATTAAACTATAAACTATTCAACTGCATAATAAATATAAATACAATTAGTTTACATTATATGTGTACAGTGTTAAGTGAAAATGGAGCTAAACGAGTAAAGAGAAAAGCCTATTTTAATGCGTAAATATAGATGCAACCAATGTCAGGGCAGTAAACTTCGTAAAAGATGATTTTCATTCAAAAACTGGCCACAGCAAGGAAAATTCTCAACAACAAAAGACTTAAAATGAAGTGGTAAACGAAAAACGAAAATAAATCTATGTATACAAAACTTAAGACAACCTATTCCAAATTCCAAAACAAAATTAAATGAATTTCTGTTATTTATATATAAAATCGGATTCGGTTTAATTTTTTAATGTGATATTTTTAAGCGTTCGAAATTTGTTTTATGGCCAAAAACCTTTCAGTAATAATGATTTAGACTTGAACATTAAAAGGGCTCCACCACAGCGAAATTTGTTAATTTAAACGAAGGCAATTACGAGGACAATGCTGATATATAAAGGATAAAACAAGAATATAAATAAAAACCAACTTCCTACTATTTTGTAGTTTTAATGACTAAACCAGTCAGTGTCACATCATTGAAAAAACTGAGAACAAGATTTCGTAAAAAAGTAATTGTAAGTTTTTTTCGTAACCAAAACAAAACTAAAAACGAGAATGGAAAGGAACTTAAATAAAAAATACTATAAAATTATAATTTCGGCTCTTTAATCGGTCCACATGTAAGCAATCATTCAGTTTAAGTTTTAGGTTTATTTGATATATCTTTGTTTATATAAAATACGTTTTTCATTACACAATTAATCGTAAATATATCTGCGCACGCTCCCCCGCACTTGGAACAACACAACGAATCTTGGCAAGCCCCCGACCCAGTCCTCAGGCATCCGGCTTAGAGATACATGCCGTTGACCAGGAAGTCCGCCTCCTGCGAGTAGGGCGTCTTGCCGCCCAGTCGTCGTGCTCTCCGGGTCACCGTCCGCATCCTGCACCCAATGAGAATGGCCAGGGCGGCGGTCACCAGCAGGCCCAGGGTCAGCGAGAGGACTGCCCCACCAGGGCGCTCCGAGTGACCGTCGTGATCGCGGAACTCTATCGCCAGGTTGTCGTGGATCATCTTGTACTGCTCGTGGACTGGAGAAGCGGGAACGGGCAGAGCTGGAAGTGATCCATCCGGCTGTAGCTTATTTTGCTCCAAGGCTAGTTCAATGGGATCCTTGGCCGTCTTCGTCTTGACCTTCTTGTGCTTGTGCTGCTTCTGTGAGTTTAACGAGGAATGGTCAACGATAATCTATACAACTTCATTAGATCTTACCTTTTTTGGTGCCTCTGTGTATGTTTCCTCGTCGTAATCATCATAGTCCCCATCTGCCGCTGGACCCATATTTTTTCCGGAGGCGGGAGCTGCATTCAAGACGGGCAACATGACGTGCTGCGCAGCTGGTGGAGATTGGTTAGCCGGAGCTGCAGCATAGACATGACCAGACTGTTGCGGCATCAGTGACTGCGGCTGCTGAACCGGCGCCTGTTGCTGCGGGGCCAATGGAGCCTGTTGTGGCCACACCACACTCGGTGGCACCTGCTGCTGGCCAGCAGGAGCCTGGAGCTGAGCTTGCTGCTGTGGCAAGTAGATTCCGGAGCGTGACATCCCATACACAGCCTGATTGGCCTCATAGCCGGGCAGTTGCATGGGTGGGGATTGCCCCTGAACCTGAACCTGCGCTGCTCCCGCCATCTGACCCGGAACCTGAGGCGGCGGGGGCCCCTGTCCGTTCGCCGGCTGCTGCAGCTGGAGGCCGCCTTTGTGGCTGAATATGTGGCTCTGCGCATCTGCAACAAGGAAGCATGAAGTGTGTCTCCCGGTTAACGCACAGCTAATTGAATTAATTACGCCCAGACAGAGGCGCAGCACGCACAGTGCACAAATATCCGTAAATCAATTTCGAGCGACGGCAGCTCCCATTTCACACAATGAAAACGGATGGGCTATTTGCGATTTTCCCAGCAGAAAAGCCCCCGCACAAGGGGACCAGTGTACAGTGGCCAAGCGGCCCAGCAGTGGGATCATTGCGTGTGCTGTGCCGGCCATTTGTGTGCTAATGTCGCGCTGGAGCGCCGGAGCCTCCGGGAATCATTCGCCATTCCCTTCCCCTTCTCTCATAAATATTTACTCGATTTTTAGTTTCGCTGGCTATGCCTAATTGGTGCTGGACATTCAATCGACTTTAATTAACAACTTCATGCAACAGGCGCGGTGCTGCAGCAGCTTTACTATGGGATTGGGTTACTTTGGTGTGAGAAATAAATACAACAAAATATAAATCAAGAAAATAACCATATAATCATGTGCATCACCTCATAGCCAAACTCGAATCATTAGCGTTGAAGATTCTGTGGATTAGTTAACAGTCAAAGGAACACTTGGGAACTATATCGTACACTATGTCTCGTTTCCTAATCTTTGTACTCCTAATGATCATAAAATCGAATCTTTGAGTATAATCATATTGTTTTGATACGACAGCTGCCTAGCAAATATTCTATATTCTACTTGTAATCTAACCTTTAATCTTAACTATATTCTCCTACGCCCCACTATCTACACTTACCCGTGCTTATGATCTCCGCCTTTGGCTGCGATGACTGTTGCTGCTGCAGTTGCTGCTGTGGCAGTGGCTGCTGCTGCTGCTGCCCTTCGGCAATCATCTTGCGGTTGGCCCAGGCGGCGGCATCTTCCCGATTGTTCACCATGGGCGGTGGAGGCGGCGGTGGTGGTGGTGGACCCAGAACAATGACATGTTGTGGTAGCTGCTGCTGCTGCTGCTGCATCTGCTGGGCCACGACCTGCTGCGGCTGTTGCACGGGCACATACTGCTGCACCATGGGCTTCGCGGGCACCATGGGCTCCAAATTGCTGCTGGTAGTGCCCGGTTTTGTGGCCGTCGACATCACGGTGTTGCACTGAAAATGGGGTTAGCAATTAGCGGTTGAGGGAGTGTGTGTATGGCTGGAGGTGAAAGTGCAACTCACTTCCGGTCCCTCGTCACTCCCGTCCTCGCACTGGGGAATTCCATCGCAGGCATTGTAGACCGCGATGCACTCGCCGGAGTGGCAGGTGAACTGGAAGCGTCCACAATGCGCGGCGGGAACTGAAAATGGTTACGTTAGTTGCTCGTTCAAATGAAAGAGGGGAGCAATCAAAACTACAAGGTAATCATTAATTTAGGGTCAATTTTTCCTAGGTTTTCAAAAGAGTTGCGTGGAAAGTCTTAAACATGATAGGAAAATAAAATAAAGGGATATAATTATAATAATAAAATATAGCATATTAATTACAGCGACTTTCTCTCTTTTAGTTTTGGATTGATTTAGATCTCAGATGTGTGTGTCATATATTTTAATTTAAGTTCAAAGTCGCATATACCCTCGAAGTATAAGAAGTACCGGGTATCGACAACCCAGCCGCAACTCACCACTTTGAGCTTGGTAGACTGGCGACTGGCCCACACCCAGGCCCGCACCCGCACCCGTTCCCGATGTGGGAGCCACCACTGCGGCGGTGGAAACTGTGGGCTTGTCGCGCGCTTCCGGCTTCAGCTTCAGGTTGCTCAGCTCCCATTCCTGCTGCGACACATTGTTGCTGTGGATGTGGGGCAGCTGCGGACGCGGCGTGGTCACCAACTCGCCGACGGGCTTCGGCTGGGGGTTCAGCACGGCACTCGTGTAGTTGGCGTGCCTGGTGAACTTGCAGCGGAAATCCTCCGGAGGACCGCACTCGAAGAGGTAGCAATAGCCCCCCGCCTTCCGCTCGAAGATGTACACATCGCAGGCGTCCGTCTCGCAGCACAGCCTCTCGCACTCCTCGATGGTGTCCAACTCGATGCCCTGCAGGTACTTTCCTCCAATCGCCTGGGACTCTCCCGTCCGGATTATGGTGTTTTTATGCACGTCAAAGTGACCTGTTGGCAGAAGTCCAAAGAAACTGCCAAAGCTCGTAAATGGTCTCATGTTAAAGTTTGTGGTCTGCTACTATTATTACCAGGTGATTATTGAGTTATTATGGGCATAGACTCACAAACAAAAGACTCGCACCATCAAGATGGATGTGGGTAATGAAGTAGGCCTCACCTATGCACACCTCCAGATCCATGCGCTTGCTGAGTCGGTGCTCCGCCGGCGAAGATTGCAGGTACTCCACCTGCTCCGCGGTGGCTGCTGCTTCCGCGATCATCAGCAGGAAGGGCAACGCCAGGTTGGCAATCATTGCGCTGGCTAATGGTTATTTTTGCGGTTTTTCGGTCGCGACTGGGCCTTTTCTCTTCGGGCAGCTGGCGGTCACAGTTCACTGGGGGATCGGGGTTGGAGTGGCCAGGAAACCGAAAGGGGCTGGTCCGAGGGCTTGCCGTGTTTACAAATTTAACACGCCTATTGATTTTTGGCCTTTCTTCGGGCTGCGAAGAAGCTTAAAACCACCGCAGCACGCGTTTCTGCAATTTGCACTTGAGTACGCGAATCGAATCACTTTGTGAACTTTTTCTGCTTTTCCATTATTTTACTGATTATTTATACTTTTTGCTTGCTTTTCTCTGGATTTTGTGACAAGTACACGATGGCTGGCGAAATGTAAACCACTGGAAGTAGTTCGGAAAACTGGGAAACCCTCTTCGCGCAGCTTTTTCACCCCCAGCAACATGGAGCTTTCCTTATCAGCTGTTGGGTGCTTTGGTATCGATAGCGCCGACTTCCAGTGCCCATTCCACCACCCCATACGTTCCCCTGGAATTGGAAAGCTTTCCTCCCCAGCGCAGCCACCATATGTTTGAGCTTTCAACCCCAACCTTGCAGATCTTGTAATGCATATTGTCAATTGACAACAATAATATCCGGGGATGTCGACCCACCTTTCACAGCATTCTTTTCGTAGGTGTCTGTGTTTTGAAACCGCAAACGTGGCCCACACAGAGAGAAAAAATATTTTAAAATTAGGAGCATTGAATGGTTAGAAAAGAAACGAAAGTCCATAAAGATTTTAAAGTTGCATTTACACCTGAAAAATAGAAGAATGCTATATTTTTATCACTACATAATCTTCATTTAATCCTATAATTATAGTTCATGAACATGAAGTATTATAAGAGTTATAGCCTTCATCACTTTATATTATAAAATCTTATAGAGTCCTTTCCGTGTGACAATGAAAATCGATAAAAGCTCCTACCCTTTACCTTGCCTACAGATACTTTAATAATTTAACTGCGGGTGTGGGAATGGCAGTAGGTGGTGCTGGTGGTGGTTCGCCTTTGTGAAAAGACGGCTGACGGAACTCAATTACAGCAGGCTTCATCGCACAGGTTTGCTGCACTACCAAAAGCACACGGCATGTTGATATGCCCGTATACGTATGGTTTCATGTCATTAGGGCTTCCAATCGCGAGCTGCTAATTGCAGGTCCTGCAGCAGGACACTCTGTGCACTAACAGCGCCTTCGACGCATGCGCCGCTCCGTCGCACAGCTTAAAGCCGCTGAAGAGGCAACTTAGCAATGTTAATGAAAACAAAGCGTTAAGCACTCAGCTGCATCCTGCACCCTGTCGCCCATTAAAACACCCGGCCCGACGGCTGCACCGACCAACTTGCTGCACAAAAGCCCAGCGAACACAAAGGCGGCGGCGGCGGAGGCGGCGAGTATGCAACCCCTTTGGGCAAGTTGCAAGACAACAACACAATCACAGGGGCGGCGGCAGAGGGTCACGAGAGTCACGGGTGAGGGGCTGTCGTAAAGGGGAAACAGCATTTGGAGCCATAAAGTGGGCAAAATGCGAAAGTCTGGTAGCAACATAACAAAAAACCATTGCATATTTCACGGAGTCACGTCACCCAAGTGGGCATCCTCTCCGCGTATGTATGTGTGTACAGTTGGGGGAGCTGCGAGTGCGTCGTCTGTACCTCATGAGTACCCTGTAATTAATTTCATAGGAATTCATAGGAATTTTCATTTGCAATGAATAAAAAACTAAATTTGTGTAATCATCATCAAACATCATTGCTTAGCTTTTCGTTTCTAAACACTGGCCATATGAGTTGCACACTATTTTGTTTAGTTTTACAACACACTTTATGGTAGAAATATCACCAGCGATTCAAGTGCTCACCACAGAGCGACTAAAGTAAAGTATCTGAAAAATGCCATCCCTGTGCCCTTTCACCCTTTAAAGTGGCGCAACTAAGAGAGAATCCGAGTCCCAGCAGCTCCGCCTGAATTGCATCTTCAGTTCTGGTTTTGCTCCGCTGCCACTGGCAATGTTAATGCTTTTAGTGCGGAGCAGGGGGCGGCACAGGAAGCAGGGCGTGGCATTCGGGAAGTTGGGGTGGTTGCAGGGTGTTTGGCTGGTGATTACATGCAACTAAAAAGTGATTTGCATTTATATTTAGCACCGAACTGAAATGGCTGAGGGTTTGCCTCTAATTGCTGCATAAAGAGGGAAAGAGGGACTTTTTTGAAGCAATTATCCGTATACTCCGTACCTATACCTTAATCCTTTTCCAGTCAAAGTTTTTGTCTGCCACAAAGCATTTGCAGAATGTCGTCCTTCGACGAATTTCCAAGAAAATTGCACGAGCTTGCATGACTCGTGGGAGTTTGTGCTTTGCAACTAATAAGGGTTATTGACACAAGTGCACAATGCCCCCGTCGCAAAGTGTAGCTTACTATATCCTTGCATTTGTATCTATTTACTGCACTTCTGCTGGCCCAAGTCTATGGGCTCCTTCAAATTTATTTGCGTTATCCGAGAAACTTAGTCGCTCATGTCACAGACGTCGAGACGCCAAAGTTCAATAACATTGAAGTCGGGGACCGAAAGAAAAATTTAGAAAATCCCCCAGTCGCCCCCGGGGCGCAGCTCCCAAAATCCAAATGACTGCCAGGACTCGTAAAGCATTTCGGACAGAAAGGACATGTGCACGTGCAGCCAGCGAGCCCGTAAATTCTCCACATTTAACGAAATGGAAATTTCGCCAGACGAACCACAAAGAAGGCGGTCCGGATGGCCAGATGGGGGACTCTGGAACTGGGAGTGGGAAATGGGCTTTGAGGGCGATGTGACTGACAAGACGTGCTGGGGCCGGGATCTTCATCAGCCGCCAGGTGGGCCAGATGTACATACCTGATGGTATTTTGTATTGTTTTGTATGTGGCCTTGCCGCCGAAAAACGTGTTTTTATTTTTCGCCAGAAAGCTGTTACTAGCTGCTCTCCCTATTTAATTCCCGCACTTAGCCCGCACAAAAGCCAAACTAACACAGCGAATGAATGAATCTCACAGCCTGCTCCAACTAAAGCAGAAGCACAAACTAACCAACAAGATATATGGGTTTCGTTTGGATCAGAGGCTTCATCAAGGGGGTATCTGTAGCTAAAGATCCCCCGTTGAAGAGCAAACTAAGCCTTTGAGCTCAGCATAAATAAGGTTTAAATGGTTGGACACGATATTAAGTTAAAGTTAAGGCAGCCAAAGATAATTTTATCGAGCTTGTGACACGAAAAGAATGAAAAATTGAATGGTTGCCCAGTTTACATAATAGAGCTTTAAAAACCACTTGGACCGAGCACGTAAAAGAAAAATGTGTGTAAAATATGCAAAAAGATATCATAATAGTTGAAAACCACAAAACAATGATGAGTCTAACAGCAAGATAAAGACAATCGAACCCTGTAGATAAATCAAGACAATATGAAATTAATGAAATGTTAAACTGCAACTGAAGGCCATAAGCCATTTCAACATTAATCATTACCACTGCGCTTAGTCACACTTTTCATCAGACTTATTCCACCTTTTAAAACCGAGAAAAGGTAATGAAAGCCAAATACTGATGCCCAAAGCCAAGCCCCTAAAACCATGGACTGATGAACTGACCCAACTAATCATTAATTATATGCAAAAGGAAAATGAAGAAAAACTTTGAAATGGCCAGACTTCGTCGCGACTATTAAACCAATTTTAGCTTTTGTTATATTCGTAATTTTCGTTATTTTCGTTGCTTTCGAGAGGTTGAGCGGCAGGCAGGGTGGCCAAATGGGATTAATGGGGAGCATAAAAGCGTATTTCTCATACAAAAAGTTGGGGCGTCAAGAAACCAGCCAGTGACGATGCTCCTTGGTTTCGTGTGTTGGCAACGACTGGCTTAACCGCACAGCAAATGCGCAACAAGGGGCCATAAACACGGCTAAGAGCAGACGGAATTCCAGGGGCCAGAAGATGCTGCCCCGAGATGAACTCTGGAACTTGGGTTCAATGATTTGGCCAAAAAACAAAGCCAGGACGAATGAATGAAAGGCAGGGTTCAAGGGACCCTTCTACCAATTGAATATTCAAGCACTTCAAAATTAAGCATACGCAGTGTTGGCCGTCAGCCGTCTCAAGTAGTGTATCTTATGCAAGACAATGCGCGGTTAACTTTAATATTTAAAGTGTAGGAGGAAAGTGGAGCTCGTGCCGCATAAATATCTTATTACTTTCGTGGCCAACGAGATGATGCGTTGTCAAAAAGTCAAAGAAAGGTAATTAAGGCTCGGGACATCTTGGCCTAACATCCGCTCTGCTCTTCAAATATTTATTTATTGATTTTCTTAAACGCTTTGTGCTCACTTTTTCCGCTCGCTTCTTGGCCATTTGAGTGACGTCTGTCACATTGTGTTAAGCCCCATTCTCCATCTCCATTCTCCAATGCCGAGCATAATTGGCAGCCGAATGTGGCTGAAATTCTGATGACTCTCGTCCCCTGTTAACTCTCAATCACTGTTAGTTGACAACGTTTCAGCCTCTGTTATGTTTTCAAGTTTATGGTCAATGGCTCTGCACAGCCGCTTTTTCCGCTCCAACTGTAAACTTTGACCAGTTCGGCTGCTGCTTTCTTCTCTCTCCCTCTCTCTCTCTCTCTCTCTTTACACTACTACCCATTCCCTCCCCCAAAATGTTGCAGTCGACGGGGCCTTTGTTTTAGAAATTCTAAGCTGAAGCGCTGACAGTGTTCAAAACCGTGACAGTTTTGGAATAGAACCCACTGGATACTGAAAATAAATATACTTCCTTGTAGCACGGCTCAAAAAACATTTTCCCATTTTGTATTCCCCCTAATAAAATGTTATAGATAGTGCAGGAAATTTTATAATTCATTTATTTCTTACCTTAATATTATATTCTTTAATTATTTTACACTTCAAATCTACTTAGATATCAAACATTTGTTCAAAAAGGTTTTGAAAGTAGTATTATACTGATTTTTACATATCTCATTGTGATACGACATAGTCACAAGATGGTTTGTTGATCTCTTACGTAAATTAAGGAATGGCATAAAACTAATTTTAGTAAGAGTGTGACTTCGGCAATTCTCAGCAGTATAAAAGGAATCTAATAGGAAATAGCACGAGCCCTATAAATACATTTTACGACTAGCAAGATAGTAAATTTAAAGATCGCGACTTTGGATTATCTAGCTGGAATCATTGGTGCCCGAAGCACTGGGTGCTAAGCCGGTGGTCATCAGTGGCACCACATACCCATAGTACGCGGCTCCAGCTCCACGAATCCACGAACCCACAAATCAGCAGTAAATCCGCGCACTCTGCGAGCAAACACAGAGAGTTAACAGCGGCTGAGAGGGCACTGTTGGCGTAACAGTGGTGTGTATCCGGCAGATACTTTTCCATTCGCCGACTCAGTTCAGTCTTTCTTTGGTGCTCACCGGCTGCGCGTGCTAAGCTCCGAGCTGCTAGGTCCACAACCATACCATTCAGATACAGTATCCGAACTCCGGGCAATCCGCTGCCGCTTTATAAACAAACAGTTAAACAAACCGACCGCTCGACGTCGCCGTGTGTGTGTGCTTCTGTGCTTTTCGCCCTCATTGTGCTCTCGTGCAAATGAAAATTTCATTGAGCAGAAAGTCGCAGCAGCAGCAGCAGCAGCAGCAGTAGAAAAGTGGAAAATCCTAAAGCGGCGCCAGCCCCAGCAAAAAAGAAAATAAATTAAAAATCTCGGCTAGTGAAATTTCAGTCGAGAACTAGACGCTGCAATTAAGCCAAATACAGACCGAACCACGTCGAGTCCACCGCTGGAAAACTGCCAAAAGTAAATTTTATTTGAACATTAGTATTAATTCACAAAATGTGAAAGACTTAAGTACACCAGCCTCTAATGGTGTCGTAACGATATATTATATTTTAACAAGCAAAAAATGAAGTTTAGGCATGAAGTTCATTAGGTGTTGTAAAGTATTATAAAAAAGTTTGAATGATGTGTTTTTAGATATGCTAAAAATACCAGACAAGATTCTTCATTTTGTTGATCTTTTACTACGTAAGAATCATTTTGGGGATTCGTATAATATATTTGTCAAATACCAATAAGAGCTGGTATTCTGGACAACTTCAGCTAATATTGTTTAACACAAAATGAAAATGCTGTTTTACACCCAGAACTTTCATCGCATTCGAGAACCGGAAAATGTTGCCTGTTTTTTTATTTTCTGTTCTGCTCGTAGACCAGTCGATCGGGTCGATTTGTTTCAGCTGGCCAGTGTCCAGTGGCCAGTGTCCAGTGGCCAGTGGCTAGTGTCCAGTGTCCAGGAGAAGCGTGCCCGTCACAGCCACCTGTCCAGTCCCAGGCGAAGTCCCACTCCCAGTTTCGGGGCCAGATCTGGTCCCCTTCTCCATCCCCATCGCAGTGCCCATACCCCACCGCTTCCATTTCCAGTACCATTACCATTAAGACCCGCAGACATTGCGGCACAGAAGCCGAGTTCGAGTTTGAGTTGGCCAGCTGAAAACCTGCAGCAAGAGCTAGTCAGCCCGTGTGCGTGTTGAGCTGCGGAATTTTATGCAGTGGTTGCTGGCTCGTTTACGTTTTTATTTGTATCTGGCGCGAGTATCTCTCCCATTTTACAACTTCATATACGAAACTTTTTATTGGCAGCGAAGGGTGGTCTTTCGGCCACGCATCCAGCGGAACGTAACGAAAACGCAACTGCGCTTCACGCTTCCAATTCCCAACTGGCAGTCGCTTTTCCGAGGGGGGATCGGGGAGTTCTGGTAGGTAGAACCCAGCCAGCGGGATGCGCTTGAATTCCGATTAGCATTCGGATTCGGTCAGACGCAGATCTTGTGCTAGCCCGCAAATCCAAGCACAGAAGTCGTCGTCTGAGCGGCCAAATTAGCTGGCAAATATTAGCATTAACATCGGCTCGCTTCACAGAAAAACGAAGTCAATAGAGGTTTTGTTGACCCTTGGAGTCTGCCCAGACCGGTATTTGTCAAACAAATTTAAAGCTCCTTAATTCTTATTCCCACATATTATTATCTTAAGTAATATGCATACAAATTGTATTCCTAAAGCTATTAACATACATATGTATTTAAATATAATATGTACCGCTTGTGGAAGTTGAACCTATGCCTCATGTCACTATATCTTCAAGGAATTATAATTTAAGTCATGATGCAAGTCATATTTCTGCAGCAAAGAATCTTATATTATATTATTTATATTTAATTTATTTAATGTGGAAGTACGGTCAACCATTTCGCTGAATGGGAATCCCTTGTGCGATGGCAACTTCTTTGGCCAGACTAAAACTACTCCAGTGGGCAAGAATGCAATCCGGCCTAATTGAGTTTTTATCAATCGCAGACTCGCTTTTCTCGGCGGTGTGTGTTAAATTGGATGCTGGTGCCAGTTTATGGCCGCATAATGTGTGTCGGCAGCCGTAATTTCTTTTATGTTGTGTCTGCTGCGTTTTGTAACCTGGTTTTATTCGCAGTCATAACATTTTGCGGCCGCCTGTGTCTAATCACTGTGCACCGTGCAGTAAAAACAGGCACGCCACCAGATACAGATACAGATACAAGATACGTACATTGGGTATTGGACACACGTCCAATGATTCTGACATGCTTACATATTTTGCTGCACTAGCTTCTATTTTTTTCGCTTTTGCCACTCAATCGATATGTGTTTACAGGGTGCTCAGAAGCGTGTCAAAGCTGCAGCTGAACGGCCAGAGATACAGATGCAGATACGGATACGGATACAGATACAGTTGGTGATAGGCAAATGTATCTTTAACTCATTACGCACGCTCTCTGCGGGTGTATCCGTAGCGGGTCTTGGGTTCCATTGTCTGGCGCGACTCGAGACAGATTTTCTGGGTAGAAAATCGATTTGAGATACGGGCCCAGCTGCTTGTTTGTTTACTCGCCAACGAGCTCAGCTGGCAGATTGCAGATTAGCGCTTTGTCTGCCGCGAAGGTCGCCCCAAGAAGTTCCCCATCGCGGTTGTAGATCACCAGATGAACTTGAACCCCAGCGAATGCTGCGCTAAATGCCAAGCGACCATAATTCATACGAAACCAAACATCAAACCACTGGGCAGTTGCAAACATCCTGGGCCGTCTAAGAATAGCCCAAAGAATAACAAAGAACGTTTCAAATTCAACGGAAAAAATATACACATACGTGTGTGTATTTGTATCTGACAGAGCGAACGTAACGTCTCAAATGAATCGTTCTGCCGATTTCGTCAAAAAGATTAATAAGCAATTTTCGGCCGTGTTGCCGTTTACTTTGTATTCCTACGTGTTCGGCATAATGCTATCTGGAGATACACCGAGTTATATCTCGCAACGGAAATGTTTTGAAAGCTCGTTCGAAATTGAAATCTAACGGAAGGCCCGTATGTGTAGCAGGTAGAAAGAGTGATATATGACAGATAAATCCATTTTGGCCAATCGAGATTGGGGAGTGTTCAACCGAATGAACTGCATCTCACCATTTATGCGTTTCATGGCTAATGCAGAAACGATGATGGATTGTGATGGACCTTTGGAGGGGCTCATAAGCGTTGAAATCGTTATTCAAAGCGGAAGTATAAATAAATTCATGCTCACTTTATGTTAGTAATGCCTCTAATTAGAAGTTACTGCTCTGAGCCGCACGAGCGCGCAGAACAGCTGCATACATTTGAATTCATAAATAACTTGCAGCACGGCTTCCAATCAGAAGCAAGTTGCAGTTGCACTGCAGTTTCTTTCAGACCACTGAAAATGAATCAGAATCACTGGAGTAGCGGATATACGTACATATGTACTTGGAGGAATCGCGCAATCATTGAACTCTAACCCACTGCGGACAGCTGACAATCGACGGCGGCCGACATGGCGTATGTGTAATGTGATTGCTGCCATAAGCCGCACTTATAAACACAACTATATAGCCCCACATACGAGTATCTGCGTGCCCCATGTATGTGCGCGGTGTATTAATAGAGGGGCTCCATTGTGGCAGTGCTCGCAGCTCGTTGCATCTTTTATGATGTGTGTGCATAAAGGCGAACTATAAACAGAGTAGTATGTGAATATCGTTTATGCTCTACAGTACTTTCTAATGACTTGTACATAATCATATTCTCACAAATGGCTCCAAACTGTAATGGGAATATATAAATATCGCATTTATAGCACAACTAAGGGTATTTTAATAGGCTTTATTCCGGAAAGTAGGCGGTATAATAAAATATTTAAAATTAAATAAAATATTTAAAATTATAAATAGGGGAAAACATAAAACTTACCGATATTTTGATTCTCCTAGCTTATTAAAAATACAAATAAATACAAAGGTTAGGCGTAATTCTGAAACAAGGCTTCTTTTGCGATGAAAAATAGTTCATGCACGGCCTAACTGAACCCCTTTTCTCACAGTGCAGCTGACTAACGCAGTGCGGGCCCATTTGTTTGATGGCTTTATGACTTTGGCAGTGCCCGAGAACTTTGGATACCATAGTGGATCCATTACCAGCGTAATCATAAACACAAGTGTACAATGAACTTGACTGGCTGTGTGCATTTTGCGTGTGGTTTCCGTGATTTCACCACCCCTCATCGGGTTCCTATTGCTCGATTTATTACTTACACACATATTTGCCTCTGTTATTCACAGACATTTCAGTATTGACACGCAGCCAGACGTAAATATGCAAGTGCACATATTTGTTGATTGCTCTGTTTTCCCCGCTCTTAGAACCCAGCGATAGGAATCCACCCCAGCAAACCTCATCCATGCCTTTTGTGACTTTGAAATGCGTGCGGTGTGTGCTCATGTTATCGATTTACCTGATTTCTGGAGTGGGACCCCAAGTTCGGGCACATCTCATTGCCGAACCGGCGTTCGCTCCGTAGGGAACTGGAACGGGGCGTGGGCAGATGGGGGTTTCATCCATGGGTACAGCGCAACTATGGAGTAAACACACGCGGGCCTACGCAATAAACATTTACAGGAAATCGAGAGATAACAGTGGGGGCTTCCAAGAATACAACTGGGCAGCGGATGCGATTTTGTGGAGAACTTACCACTTAAAGGGTTCCCCTAAATCGTATTGAATTTTCCGACATATCTTTGGCATGCTTATATGGTGTGGACTATGAGTTTTCGCATTGCACCATCTCCATTAGAGAAGCTACATCTATTTTCGGCCACCTTTGCCAAATGTCGGCCAGTCCGTTGGACACGATGACTCGGAATGACATCTATTTATAAATGGCAAAACTTTTATTCCACTTGCGACCATCACTCACCGAGATTTCTCACACCTAGTCGAACATTTTCCCATAGTTCGTGACGCAATTTCGCAGTGAGCCAAGAACGACGAAAACATTGCGTAAACATTGAATTAGCCAGCAAACACGATGCTCGCAAGAACAGTTTAGCCATTGTACTTCATTTGATTTTTTCCGCCTCGAAAACCATGTCAAGTGGACCGCCCCGGACTTAGGAATACGGAGAACTCGCGACCGAAGTGCGCAAACATTTGCCAAAGGTAATTTATGCCGGAAAACTTTTCGGTTTTTTGTTGGCCCGGCCAAATAAAGCTGTGTATCATTTTTCCATGACAATTCGCTTTTGGCAACTGCCCAGTAAGCAGTCCGAATATGAGATGGCCATCTCCAGGCCCCCCGGGTCGTCCTCCTTGGGGGTCAACGACCTCGGAGGCGGCTACTTGGCCAATTGGCCACTGCCCACCTAATGGCCACTTGGCTACATAAATGCTGCCCCAACTGCTCGCGAGTAACGTAGGTGTAGGTTTTTTCACTTGTAATTATTTACCCATAAGGCTGCCGCACTCGAAGCCTCTTTTTGGTCATTTTTCGCTTTTTGCGGCTTGTAACCCCATTTGGGTAATCAAAAAATGTCTGAAAAGGGGCTACCAAAGTGGATAAACAATAAGCCAAATTAACTTTTCAATTTTACAAAAAATAAAAGAGCGAGCGAAACAAACACATTTCTTTCGAAATGAGTCACCACACACATTCCAAACTGAATGATTGCTCAATCTGAGAATCCGAGAGCTTCAACTTGGCCAGAACTTTTTGCTGCGAAAACCTTTTGGCTTTTATGTTGGCTTCATTCGTTGGATTTTTACTGTGAAACATTTATTTTAGGAGTCTTTAATCAACGACTTATTTTTCTACCTGAATGTATGAGCCAAGTGCTGATTAATTCGTATTTTAGCTAATTTCTTGGCTTTTATGTGCAAACAGGCGCTTGACTTTTGGGTTCTTTAAAAATTAACAAGCGACCAAAGTCCGTAAGATCGCAGTAGAATTATCAAAAGACAGACGTGTGTCTAAAAAGCTGGAAGCCCATCAATCAGAAGCCAGCTGCTAGATTGCCAAAAATAACACGCAGATTATACTGAAATATCTATATAAATGTATTAGAAGGATGCTCGACTTCAATGTGCACAGTGCCTGACTCATCGGGTTATCAAGATTGTTTATGCAATACATGGGTCTATTTAAATGCGACAGCAACTCAATTGGCAGATTATTAAACACGCATTCGGTGTTTTTTGTCCGGCTGATAAGCCCGCCGTTGTGTAACGCTGTATTAATAAACAATATATTTACAATATAAATTAATAGAGGCACACCAAATCTGATAGCAGGAACTGCGACCGCTCGATATCAATGAATTTGGGCCCTAAGTTTCTTTCTATTCGAGATTTCATAAACTGGTTTCAGCTTACTTCGTTCCCAATTTTCTCAGTTCTTTTTTGGGTTTTTTTCCAGGGGATTTCACGGCCCGCGAATCATAAAGCATTTGCATTAACAAACGCTGCCCCTTTGTGAGCGGCACAAAAGTAGGCTCTTTAGCATAAAACCGTCACATTTCACTTTTCCCCCGTACATGTGAAAACTCCGGCTTGAATGAACTTTTCAGAAACATTCAATAGTCGATCTCATGGATCCCAAAGTTTTCTCCTATACGGGAGATACTCTGTATCTAAGTTGATTTCGGTTTCGGCCTCTCTTATCATATTTATGCCCTCTTTTCTGGATATGTAAATTTTGACCAAATTGGTCCAAAAAGAAATCGAAACCATTAGCCCAGATTTAGAACACGTCTATAAGAGTATCTGCCACGTAATGCGCATAAGAGTCTGAGAAGTGTGACAAATGTGTATTTTTCCAAGTCATAAGGAGGCAATCTTCTTTGGCAATCGCTTAAATGACCATTTTATTTTATAGAGCACTTTTAAGTGGTGTGGCAAAGTGTTTTATGGAGCTACAGCCGTATAAGTGGCTATGAACACTACATAAATGTATAATTAATCCACAATTACCTTGAAATTAACATGAACTTTCTGCAGTCGTCATTTGGCGCCGGCCCAAAAAAGTTATTCCCAGTTTGGGAGCCCAAATCGACAAAATGTATCCGAGTCGATTGCGACACATTCAATTTGCATTTACCCATAAATGCTCCAAGGAACTTATATATGGATATATACGAGTATATAGATGTAAGGGAGGAGCATTTAAAAATCAATTTGGATGTGCCGCTGATGAAGGTGAACAAATTGGGCCTTTGTCTTGAACTCGCTCTGGTTCTGGGTTGGGATTTGACTTTATTTCCCCATTTTATGGGTCATCAAATTTACGTTTATTAATTGAAGCTTTTGTTACTGGAAATCCGATTGGCCCTCTCTAATGGATGGGCTTTTTAAATCGAATCATGTTTGCTGATTGAAAATGCTTGCAGGACTTCAATGCATGTCCTCGTGTCTGGAAACCACTCAAAAATGTATCGTTGACATTTCACTTTTGTGGCAAGTGAGGAGCGGCAGACCAAATGCCAATTTACATTTTTAATTCGAATGCGACTTGCGACTGGACATTGCGGAGAGCTCCTGCCCACATCGAGCACATTTCATATGCATGAAACTATTCCGAAAATTGCCATCGCATGCAATTCATCTAATGGTTTCTTCTGACCAGCCGCACTAATTTCCTCCACTGAACCAAGGGTAATCGAATTAAGTTGCACCGGTGGCATGAAACTTTTGAGAAATGTTACACGCTGAAAAGTAGCACACCTGTAGTTGCTAATTACAGTAGTTACTTGTCTTTCATATAGTATTTCACTGGGAAGACTCTCTGTTTTTAGAAGCAAAAACTAAAAGTACTACCACTACTGAATATTAGAACATTAACTCCGATATATATAATTTTCCACTGTGCACCAATGCCGGAAGTTTCTGCAACACTGCGTTGCAGGGGCGTGGGCAGAGGGGGTTGCTCGATACAAATTTATTCGCAGCCAGCGCCGCTTTTGCTGCTGCTGCTGGGCCAGCTGTTGCCGCTGCACATGCAACATGTTGCATGTTGTTGCCGCATTGCCATAGGCATTTCAACATAGTGTTTATGCAAAGCTGCAACATCAGATGTGGCAAGCCATAATAATAAGGGTATAATTTGCCTTCTGGTTCCAAGCGCCCCGCTTTCAACTTCATCGCCCTTCGAAGTCTTCGGTCAAATAGTTTTTGCTTTTGTTTCTGCATGATGTCTTTGGGAAAATCTGGGGAAATTCCTTAGATAAGCTTTGCGGTAGTCAACATAATTTATTAGATCCCACAATTACCGTTGACTCAGCAGAACAATCACACAATACACCTTTGTTGCACCTGCCGCGGTGTACAATACCCTGTAATCAAGTGATGTAAAAAGGGCCAAAATCTATTTGAAACCAAAAATGCAATGACTTGGGTTTCTTCATTCTTCTGGAGTATGACTACTTATAGTCGACTGAACTTTTCCAACTTTTGGAGAAGGCTTAATGGATCGGACATACTTTCGAGACATCAGCGATCTCGCTTATTCCCAGAGGGTGTTCTAAGATGGTAATTTCATCCTCCGCTTCACACGGCTCTCCAGACCTCTGAAATGGTATCATGTCGCCAGTCCATCAGCAGCAAGCCCGTAGGAGTGTCCCCACTCCAGGTGGTAGTAGGTAGTAGGCCAAACGGATCCACACAATTAACTTCGTTTAGGGTAATTTCCGGGCCAGAGCCCCAAGAAAAACTATAGCGGGCATGGAACTCTTTGCCCCAGAGGGTCAGATCTGCGCGGCTCATGTTTCAAAAGCAAAACAAATCTCCGGATTTCTTCGCTCCCCCGGGAAGCAGAACGCTAACCGGGCGACATGCGAGTGACAAGTTAAACGCCGGTTTCATAATTGCTCATGGCTCTCGGGTAAATCTGGTATCAGATTTCGCACGGGCTGGAAAATTCAGCTGTGTGAAAATGTAGCGGGGTCGGGCTTTGTTGTTTATGTATTTTTAGCGGCGAATGCGGAAAACTCTTTGTGTGTATGCATGCAATGCTGTTGTTGCTGTTGTTGCTGCCCCGTTTGCCACATGGCCCACGATTTCGAAATACCTTACAAAAAAAAAGGAGAATATAAAAAAAGCAACGAAAACTATTTCAATACTCGACTGCGAGTATTTGCAATTCAATTTCGTTTCAGTTCGGCCCGAAGAATGAGAGTGAATCGAGTTTGTTCACTTTTTTGGGGGAAATTGGAAATTTCAAGGCTCACAGTTGGCTGGCGAATGCTTTTTGGGGATGGCTTGTGTTAGTAGATCAAGGATACCAAGTTTCTTTGTGAGTTGGGGTGGATAGGTGTTAAGGGGGCTTTCCTGGTGACTGGCACCACGGCCTCTGTTGCCATTGACACTCGGGTTTGGGGGGCCAAATAACCTTTGTTTTCCCCCGTCGATTTGGGGAAAACACGGGAAAGTGTCACTTGGATTTAATATGCTTATAAGTAATAGGAAAAGTCAATACAGCCGTTCAATAATATGCCACGTTGGTGTATCATAGTGAAAAGTTTCTTATTTCTTTATTTATGCATGTGGTGCTGCAGTTACGTAAACAGTTCTAAAATATTAATAGCTTCTGATTCTATCGCAAAAGAGTGTTAAGACCTATTTTCACAAATAAACTGTGTTTTCTATCATAATATTTACCCAAAAGCAAATCGACGTGAGCTTTGGTTTGGCTTCTTTTATTTATATAACTATGTATATACGTGTAGTGATATACCATTTGTGAAGCTCAAATCAGATTTTCAGCTGCTGCCGGAATTACCTACATATTAATTAAATTAGCTGTCACATAATTTTTATATATGTGGGACAAAGCCAAGTGACACGTGAGCAATTAATCCTGCTCAGTGTTCGGATTGCATGTCGTCATTATTTCTGGACATAGAAAAAGTCCACTGGCGCACAAATGGTCAGATAATGGAATGTATGAATCAGAGCTCAGGGTCTGCAGGGCACAAGAGTTGGCTGAGTCACGGATGCGGGATGTTGGTAGTGCCTTTAGGCACAAAAACGGGTCTTGAGCAGAGAAATGGGTGTGACGCACATTTGGAAAGCTCGGCTCGTCGGCAGCTCCACAGTTACAGGCGATTAATAATTGATTTAATTACACAGCCACTTGAGTCTCATGTGTCCAACTGTTTTCCTCAATTGCAGCCGCCACGCCAATTGATTGAAGGCGTTCCGCAAATTGAAGTTCAATCAGCGCAGCTTGTACCGCTAAATCGATCGCCCAAGATGCAGTGCGGTCTGGAGCAGATGAACGACTGCGAGCGGTCGCCGAACCGGACGAACCTCCGGGTCAACTTCAACGAGAAGGGGGCGGAGGTGAAGGAGCGGCGGGAGAAGTTCCTCACGGCCAAGTACGGGTCACACCAGATGAGCCTCATCCGCAAGCGGCTGGCCGTGGAGATGTGGCTCTACGACGAGCTCCAGAAGCTCTTCGATCCACCAGTAAGTAGTGCCTAAGTTGGGTCGGGGTTCAAAAGGGTTGTTCGAAAATTAAACTCCTTGTTTGCGTTCACTTCCACCAACAGAACGAGGCCATCGATGTGGACATTGACGAGATACTGGACATGGACACAGATGACATCAGGAGATCTCATCTTATTGTGAGTAAAATAACTTGAAGATCTTAACACCGTTCTAATAATCTTTTCTTCGGCAGAGATTACTGTCAGTCTGCAAACGCCCGCAATCAGACATATCGAAGTTCATTGGCGATCTGCTGGATCGCGCAAAAACGCTGTAAATGCGATGCCTCATTTGAAAAATCATCCAGCAGACCTACACATATATTATGCAGATAAACAACAAGAAATAACAAAACCTAGATCATTAAGTTTAGCTTGGAAGGCAAAGAACGAAGAATTCGGGTTGCGAGTCTTGAAATCTACCTATTCGAACACTGTGTTGATTTTTTCCATGTACTTTAGTTGTTAGTTTGTATCTTTGCGCTGATTAATTTGAAGTCTAACCTAATTTAAGCTACCCATGAAAACGATGATGAACACGATGAAGATCGTTAGCCCTAAGCTTATGGTGTAATGCCGCCAAAAACATAATACTTCATCAATTTTGTGATGATATTTTTTTAATAAAACACAAACATGATATGCCCCGGAAAACCAAAAGCAAATGTTCAGCTACATTTGAATTGAACACCATGGCAAAAGGATAAGCCTGTGTAGTTAAAGAAATACGATTAGATCCAATCTTGAGGGGATTCCAATCCCCTACACTTCGGTTGTTTTGCAAAACTAGTTTATTTGCATGTGTGTGCTTCATTTAATCCCCTATCTATACCATGATAGACCCATGAGTATCATATATATGAGTATCTAAAAGAACATTTTGTATGTAAAGTGTGCGATCACCAAGTCAAAGATGAAAGCTCAGGTTCACTGCCAAAACGTGGAGGAGGAAGATCTTGTATGCGCAGTCAACAAGTACAAACGGATACGGAATACAGAAGCACAGTAAGGCCTGGCAAAACGGAATTTTAACAGCACATCCAAAACTTTGTTCTCGAAAACCGATCTGAGCGATCGATCGAATTGAAATGAACAATATTCACAACCCATAAAAACAATTGCATTTTAGAAAGCCCGAACTACACGTAATAGTTGTAAATAAAATAATTACGAATCCACTACAGCTCGACTCTCAAAAATTTGTAAATACCCTCGGAAAGCATCAACACTTCTTCGCTCCACGAAATCTACACCTCTTTGTAGTAGTTTCTAAACAATTTGTAGCAATCGAAAAACCACTTAAAAGTATTTTAATTGTGCTCAATATAGGCGGAAGAAAAGATACGCTATTATGATTCTGTTTTAGCACACCTAGACTATCAAAACCTACTTCTCTCTACCAGGTCTAAAACGAATTAGTATCTTCTTAAAAATGCTATTTGCATACTAGTAGCAACCAATTAATCACCGCATTAACCCATTGCAACATTAAAAGAACGCATATAACGATTATTTAAGCGAGTTTAGCATTAAACCATTCACACTTAATCATGCACATAACTCTCATTTAAAAGCAAATTGGAAAAGCACACACAAAAACGTACGCTAATAGTGCGAAGAGCTGTAATGAAAGGCTAGCGGAAAATATTTATAAAATGCAAAGAAAAGTTTACAATAAAGATTTAATTGCTTTAGACAACACATTATTTGGCGTTTCATTGCAAAATGTACATTTTGGTTATAAGCAGACAGTAGATAAACTGAGCTCCTTTTTTTATATAATTTTGAAATTTATTATGTTTTTAAAAAAGCGCGCCATAAAACGGGAAAATATCGGAAGCCTCGATACCGATGACAGTTTATACAGTGCTGCCACATGTTTCTCGAACAGCTGATGCACAATTTTGTAAACAATTTCCAGCGAAAATGATGAAGGACTACTACACCTGGACTTACCCGGATATTCCCGAAGATGTGGCGTAAGTCTAACAGGAAACTGCAGTGAGCATCTCCCTCAGACATCTTCCCTCAGACAGAAGCTGCAGCAGCTGAAGAACTCGCTGGTTGTGGTCGGAATCGTAGGCCGGTCAAAATGCGACCAGGCCAACAAGATGCAAGCCTTCGGCATGGAACCGCCCATAGAGCACACGGCCAAGGACGGCCAGGTGCAGTGTTACTACAAGCCGGGCACCTCCAGCCTGCTCCTACACTTCGAAACCACCTACGACGAGGCAATTCTGGGCCAGATGATAGATGTCTGCATGGAGGATGTGGATACTCCGTTCGACTTCGATAGCTTCTACGAGAGGATGCGATGTCGCTTCGTGCGCATGATGCTGCTGGCCCTGCATGCTTGCCACATTGTGGTCTATGTGGAAACTGGGCCGACCTTTGATCCCACGCTGGTGACCGTTTTCCAGTTGCTCAAGTTCGCCAGGGAACAGCATTTGATGCAGTTCCTGCCACAAATGCTTAGGGAAACGCCTGCCGCCAGGATGAGCGAAAAGACACGACTGTGCGCGCCCAGGATTCTCTTCCTTTTCGAGAACTTTCCGCGCGACGAGCCCAAGACGCGCGAATGCGTCTCTGCCTACGAGTTCCAGACGGAGGACTGCATCTACGAGCTGTTGCGTCACCACACCATCGTGACCAATAGCAGCAGCACTTCGCTTGTGGCGCTACCCAACAACAAGCAGTTCGTCTTCTTCAACGCGCACGAACAGTTGCATGAGGACAAGCTGCTAAAGGCCATCGAGTGCCTCAATCAGGCAATGTACAAGCCGGATGCCAAGGAGGAGGAGGAAGACCTGGAGATCTTGGAGCTGGCTCCCTTCGATGGCTTCGTCAAACCCTATAACTTGCCGGTCGATGAAAAGGAGTTGGAGAAGCAGCAGTACAAGAAGGACCACACCGTATGGCACTTTTTGCAGCGACACGTTCAGGACGCCTTGCTGGGTTGCTTCGATGAGGGCTCCTTCAAGCAGCATTCCCAGCATGGGCAGTTCCAGCTCCTTAATATCCAGGAGTGGCACGATTACATGGCCACGCTGCACAAGTTACTGGTGGAGAACGCAAAGGATCCCAACCACGAAACCAGCAATGAGGAATATGTGAGCAAAATGGCACTTTTACCCAGTCTGCTTGCTCACCTTTGACTGATCTTTACAGAAACTCTTCCTTAAATGCTTCGACGAGAGCTTGAACTATGAGAAAAAGTAAGTTGACTTTACTTGCGTGGCGTTCCTGCCCTCTATAACTTACGTTTGACGCAGGTTTTGGACCCACCTCTGCGAACTGGGCCTGAAGAAGGGCATCGCAGCCTACAAGAACGCTGCACCCGCGAACTATGGCAGCGCAACGCACCGACAACTTCTGGCGGACGCCACCGTTGCCTTCGAGGAGGAAGGTCGCGGTCCACAGGCAAAGGCGGCGCTGGCGAAGCTGGCAGCCATATGCCAGAAGTACTGGCAGGATGGACGTCAGCAGTGCGAGCAGCTTAGCCTGCGATCCCATCCCTGCACACTGCCCAAAAACCTGCCGCACGAGAAGCACAACAGCGCAGTGATCCACATCTCCAGCTGCAACTGCGGGCGCACTCAGGGCCGCCGAGAGGATCCGTTCAGCATGCGGCAAGCGAACTACGAGTTCTACGAGCACATCGCCCAAATGTGCAACCTGTGCGTTAAGGTCAAGCATTACAAGTTCCCTGTTTTCGAGCCCTCAGTGAGTGATTACCGGGCGGCGGCCTTTGAAGCGGCATTTCCTCTGCTGCACACGGCAAAAAGTGGTGCGCGTCAAGGCGAAGAAGGCGATGACGAACCAGAGGACGAGGTGGTTCAGGAACAACAGCAGCCGGTGGAGGAGCAGAGGCAGAATACCGCCAGCAACGGCTGCTCCCAGCCCCTCTCACCTACCTTTGGGTCCGATTTGAACATGTCCATTGCCGGATTCGGAGCCTCGCTGAACGAGTCACAGGCTAGTTCCGAGCAGCTATCCAATTCCGAGCAGAATACCTCGAGCAGTGGCACCTCCAGCGCCGATACGGAAAACGAACTTGTGGTTGAGCTCCAGGAGCCTGCCAAGAAGGAGACTCGCGAAGACGCCGGTCCAGCCGATGCCTTGCCCACCTCCACAACGGAGTATCTGCCGGGCTTGGTGCACACTGTCAGCAACTTTGGCCTCCTGCCGCTCTTCCCAAGCTGGTCGCTTGCCTGCGTGGGTCCCAGTTCCATCTACAGCCACAATACCGGGCTGCAGGAGCACTTCCAGAGCGGCTTCTTGTCCGGCGCCAATTTCCTGCTGCCCTGGGACGTCCAATTGCGGCTAGTCCATGCTCCCAAGCAGCAGCACCACACGCACCACCAGCAGCAGCATCCTGGAAAGAAGCAGCAGCGCTGGAAGAAGCAAGGCGATAGGCTGTCTCTCAAAATATTCGTGGGCATGGAGTACGAGTGCTCCCGCGGCCACCGGTTCATGATGTGCGCCCCGGATCGCGTGCTGCGCGGTGGAGCGGACATCGAACGGGACACCTGCAGCAAGGTGGTGCACAACAACATGCCGCTCTACTATCCCTGTCCCTGCCGGTCCCAGACAAGCTATCTTGCGCAGCTGATGCGCATCCATGTGGTGACGCCCAAGGCGCCGGTCAACATCATTGTGGATCCGAAGGTATGCGTGGGCAAGGAGAAGTACACATTCACCCTGGGGAGCATCGTGCCGCCTCGCCTGTCGCAGAGCGCCTACTGGATCATCCGACTGCCCTACATCTACCAGGGAGACGACGTCATCATCGCTCCGCCGGAGAAACTGGAACCGGACGATCCGCTGGCCGGCGGCTATCTGCTGCCTGGGATGTTCGGCGTGGCCGAGACGGATGCCACGCAGGATCTGAATGAGCCTGGCAGGATGGGAGCTTCTGCAGCGGAAGATTTCACTAGGATCTAAAATTGCTTGCTAGGTCAAATCCACACAGATATAATAAACTTTACCAAGAGTGTTGATTACGCACACTAGAAACCACTTGGATGCGTACCTCTTACCGGAGTCTCACTGTTATTCAACTGCGCCGCCCAAAGAAAAGTCTGGTGGTTAAATATAACGATTAATGTAATCTCTTCAGGCGATTCTGGGAAATACGCGACGTGGAATAGTTGGAATCGTTGTAGTTCCAACTTGGATAGGGGTGTATCCCTTGGGATGTAAAATGAGCAGCGTAAAGTAGGGCTTAATACTAACAAAAGGTAATATCTTTATAAGACAATGTGCAAATACAATACATCCATTTCTTGGATAATCTTCTCGCGTGGGCTTTGTGTGATATGAGATACAAACTGGAATTTCGCTTTGGTTGCCCCAAGTGTGCAACACGTTGTACAGGGAATGCTCACAAAATCGCTTTTGATCTTATTGGTAAAAAAAAAAAAAGGGTTTTTGTGGTTCCATTGCAGAGTTACTGGTCTTTCGCGGACCGAGTTGGAACTTTGAAGATTTGTGGTGTGCTCCGGGAATCCTAAATGGTAACCTAACAGCGATAAACTGTGAGTTAAGTACTTCTTGGAGCACTCCCGACGAGTTATTTTCTGTTCTCCGGTAATACCTCACGACTTTTTCTGCTATTAAACCAAACTAATTGTATACAAAATGGAGGTCAGCACATTTTGTGACCCAAACGTAGTTAAGAGCTGTCGTGCCTTTCAATGTAAATATGAAATACTCTCGTAAACTATGGCCAAATCTTAGTACTTAGATCTAGATGAGCTCATCGGTGTAAACCTCCTCCTCGTTCACGGCAAAGTCGCCAAACACCTCCTCCTGGCAGCCCACGTCCATGTCGGCGAAGTCCTCGTAGTACATGTCAGAGTCCAGCAGGATGTGCTCCTCCTGGAGCCCAGGAATGGGATAGCCCGGATTGGTGAGTGTGTCATCTGCACCCAGCACTTCAGTTTTCACCTCTGCCGCCTCCTCTGGCTCATCTTCCTCCTCCTCATCCGGTGGTTCCTCCGCTTCGTCGGGCTCTTCTTCGTCCTCGCCGGTGGAGTCCATGGCCTGCAGCTTGGGCTGCTGTGGCAGCTGCATCTGCTGCTGTTGTTGCTGCTGCTGATTCTGTTGATGCTGCTGCTGATGGTTCATCTGTTGCAAGACGCACTGGACCCGCTCCATATAGGCTTGCTGCTCCTCCGCACTGCACATGCCCTCTGAAATCGCTCCGCCCTGCGCCGTGTTCAGGCCGGACTGCTTCATCGTGTCCAGCAGCGCTGCATGCTGGCTGTGCACGTGGCTTGCCAGCGCAGTGGCATCCGCATGCAGCGATCCGCAGACAATGCAAACGAGCGTTTCGTGCGGCTGCTTGGCCACCAGCAAGCCGGGAGACGAGGAAGCGGAGGCTGCCGACGCCATCTGGTGCGCCTGAATGTGCTTGTTGAGGTACGCCTGCTGGCTGTAGGACTTGCCGCATATGGGGCACGGGTAGGGCTTCTCGCCCGCATGGATCTTCATGTGGACACTCAGGCTGGAGGCCTGGGTGAAGCACTTGGCACACAGCTTGCAGTGGAAGGGCTTTTCGCCGGTGTGGATGCGCATGTGGATGTTTAGGCTGCCCGACTGGGTGAACGAGCGGTCGCACAGGGAGCAGGTGAAGGGCTTCTCGCCCATGTGGTTCTTCATGTGCTGCACCAGCTCCGAGCTGGCGCGGAAGGCCTCGCGACAGATGGCGCACTGGTATACCAGCTCCTGCGTGTGCATCCGCATGTGCTCGTCGAGCAGCGCCTCCGCCTTGAACTCCCGCTCGCACTCCGGACAGATGAACGTCTCCGTGGGCGCGATGTGCGTCTTCTGGTGCAGCAGCAGCGAGCTGTAGTTGATGAATCCCTTGTCGCACTGCACGCACTGATGCGGCTTGCGCACCGAATGGGAGCGCATGTGCACCATCAGACTGCTGGACTGCGTGAAGGCCTTTGGGCAGAGCTCGCACTTGTACGGCTTCTCGCCGCTGTGGATGCGGATGTGCGTGTTCAGGCTGCCGATGTGCGTGAAGGTCTTCTGGCAGATGGAGCACTGGAACGGCTTGTTGGTGATGTGCGAGCGCACGTGCTTGGACAGATCGCCGGCGTTGGGAAAGCTGGCCTCGCAGTGGGTGCACTGGAAGCACTTCTGGTTGCCATTCAGCGCTGGATCCATCACTGGGGCACCGATGTTGCTCCGCCTTCCCCGCCGCCTCTTGATGGGCGTCGATTGCAGGGATAGACCCAGGCCAGCAGTGGGTGCTGGCGGTAGCAGCTGCTGCAAGGGCGTGAGGCTCACGGTCGGCTGCACCATGAAAATGGAGGTGGACTCCCGCGGATCGGCCATCTGCAGCTGGAACTCATTGTAGCCGGGTCCGGCCACCAGGCCGCGCAGTGGCTGCGCTGATTCCTGGCTCTGCTGGGTGTTGGAGTTGCTGGTGGTCGGCACAGAGCTCGATGAACTCGAGTTGCTGGAACTCGAGCTGGAGCTGCTGTCGTCGTCGTCATCGTCGTCGTCGTCCGACGAGGAGGAGCTGTCGGAGCCCGAGGAATCGCTCCCATCCGAGGAGCCGCTGCCATCCTCCGCCAGCTCGCACACCGGCTCGAAGATCCAGCTGTAGTCCTCGCCCTCGTCGCCCGGGCTCTCCTGCTCCTGCTGTCCGTTGCTCGGCTCGTTGGGGTGCAGGGTGTTCATGTGCTGGTACAGGGCCAGCGGATGGACGAAGAACTCCGCACAGCACATGCAGTGGAAGGTGAGATCCGGCGGCTTTGGCGGCTGTGGCTGCTGGGGGGGATTGGGCGCCTGCTGCACGATGTGCGTCTGCTGCAGGATCGGCGTGATCGTGAGGGGCAGGTGGTGGTAGCTCTGTTTCAGCTGCACGGCCATCTTGCCAAAAGGCTGTGCAATTCAAACAAGAAGAACCACAACAAAAACAAGCAACGAGCGTATCAACATTTTCTCTATAATAAAAATGCGCGTCCGCGGGGAGAAAAATCAATGCCGTACCTTGGGTGAGATTGGATGCGAAGTACCGTGGATCGGGGGCTTCCGTAGACTACTATTATATCACTGGTGTGTTGCTCAGGTTCCGTGCTTTTGTGTTTCTCTCAGGGCTCTCGACATTTGTCCACTCCGTTCCATTTTATGCGCGACCAAATACCAAATAGAAGGGAATCTCAGTTAGCAGCTTAGTTTCAGTTCCGTTGGTCTCGCCGGACTCGCTTCGCGTCTTCCGGCCAGTTGGGTGGTTAGCTGGTAAGCTGGGACTGCCAGGAGCTGCGCATCGAAGGGAAGTAGCGCATTGGGCAGTCGCCAGTGCGCCAAGTGGCAAAATCGCAGTTGCAAGCGTCTTCGTTGTGCTTACAACAAATAAAAGAAAAATGTTTTATGTTGGGCGGCCCTTGCACGGTCGGACGGCAGCATATCGTCATGCAAGTGCGTCGTGCACGTCGCCTGCATGACGGCCGATAAGCCGATATGCCGCGCTGCTTCAAATTCAAATTCAAATCGAATTCGATTATACAAATAATTATGTTTTCACGGATTCGTGGATTCAACAACATTTGAACTCCTTTATCTAAGCATCTCAATCTTAATTGAACTTAATACATCAAATGAACTGCTTGTGCACTTTTCATCTGCTGATCTCGTTCCCATTGGATTTGTATTCAAGCTAAGCCACAAGTTTGAAAACCCAGAAAGCAACCAACGTAGAGCGCTCCTACTCCTGATTAAGCAAATAAAAGCAAGTGCCAAGCCTGAGATGGACTACATTTCGCCAGCTTGGAACGGATCGAGATCGCTGGACGTGCAGGGGCTGATCGAAAGTCTGAATCTGAAGGAATCCAGTGCATCGCCTCAGGCGCTGGACCGCTCTCCGCCGTACTCGCCGTTCTATGGCGTGATGGGCGTGGTGTTCTCCAGTGTGCTGACCTCGGCTGGCGCGGCATACGGAACTGCAGTATCCGGAACTGGGATCGCCGCCACGGCGGTGATGCGTCCGGAACTGGTGATGAAGTCAATCATTCCGGTGGTCATGGCGGGCATCATTGCCATATACGGCCTGGTGGTATCCGTGCTGCTGTCTGGCGAACTGGGACCAGCTCCCGATTACTCGCTGCCCACCGGCTATGTGCACCTGGCCGCCGGACTCTCGGTGGGCTTCGCTGGACTGGCTGCCGGATATGCGGTGGGTGAGGTCGGCGAAGTGGGTGTGCGACACATTGCGCTGCAGCCACGCCTTTTCATCGGCATGATCCTGATCCTTATTTTCGCGGAGGTGCTTGGTCTCTACGGCCTGATCATCGGAATTTATTTGTACACAGTCAACATTAAGTAGTAGAATATGTTGTTCCTGGACTTCTTTAAGAAAGCTTTTTGGTCATTTCATTTAATATGAGTTTTGAATTTCAATATATTTACGTGATTCTCGTATGGAATTCCGTTACGTGATTTTGGTATGAAATTCTATAGCGTGTTGTGGTACGCATTCATTTACGTTTCTGGTACGAGTTCTGTTACGTGATGATTGTGGTACGGAGTTGTGGTACGGGATAATGGTACCGAGTACTGATTCTAGTGGTTCTACGGGATGCTGACACGGTGTTCTTTACTCCTTTTGCAGCGTTTAAAATTAATTTCGCTTCTACTAAAATGTACCTGAAATCGGTGGGAAACGTTGATTGCCAAGTGGGAATGCAAGGTTGATGCAGGGCTTTCCGCTGTGCCAGCATCTGGTAACACTGATCGCTCCCGGCATTTTTAGCGGACAGCGCGTGAATTTCTGCTTTGTTTTACTTCATTGAATTGATGTCCAGTAGCAGATAGCCAGGAAACGCAGAGTGCAGCGATGGCCGATAGCCCATTCCCGATGAGCAACCGCAGCGGCCTGCTCCGCACGACCCTCAACAGCTCCGTGGCGCCGCAGAACCTGTCCCACTCGCTGCTCATCCTCGAGCAGAGCAACGCGGCCCAGGAGGATCGCTCGCTGATGGAGGACACCGGCGATGATCTGGATCGCGGCAAGAGCCGCGTGGACGTGCTGTTTCCGCAGTTCTTCGAGGTGCTGCAGGCCCAGGGCGGCGGACAGGAGGCCTTCGAGGTGATCCAGTCCCTTACGCACGTCTGTCGCGGCGTGGTGGAGCAGCTGGAGCTGGAGATCGAGCGCGGCATGGGCGGGGAGCAGGGCGCACGGCAGCGTGAGGCCCTGCTCACTTGGCTGCGGCAGGAGATATACACGTGGCGCCTGCTGCACGCCCTCTTCTACGATCGCATCCTGCTGCAGACGGACACCCAGGCGGAAGATGAGATGCAGGATGGCCCCACACTCGGCGGCAGCGAAAAGGAGGTCATACAGCAGCTGTACACCATCAATGCCACTCTGCGTGAGTACCAGCTGGTGGTGGACTGGCTGGAGGCGTGCTATGACCAGGGGGACCAACAAAACCCACTGCACTGCCACGATCGCATGATGGCCTGGGAGAACACGCTCTTCCAGCTGGAGAACCTGCAGGGCGCCGCCTTCGGCAAGGGCCATGAGATTGTATCGCGCCTGGATCCGGATGCACCCGTACGCGAAAAACGACCGCTGCACGCTCTCGACGAGGAGGACAACCTGCGCTTGTCCCGCGCCATATTCGTATCCATTCGCTCGGGACGCGTCGACGATGGTCTCAAGCTGTGTAAGCATTACGGACAGACCTGGCGGGCGGCTATCCTGGAGGGTTGGCGTCTTCACGAGGATCCCAACTTCGAGCAGAACATCTCGGCAGTGCACGAAAAGCTGCCCATCGAGGGTAATCCCAGGAGGGATATCTGGAAGCGGTGCGCCTGGATGCTGGCCGATTCCAAGAACTATGACGAGTACAGCCGGGCGACGGCTGGCGTCTTTTCCGGCCACCTGGGCTCCCTGAAAACCCTTCTGCACAGCAACTGGCACGATTTGCTGTGGGCCCACCTGAAGGTGCAGATCGACATCCGTGTGGAGTCGGAGATACGCGGCTGTTGCTTGAAGCGCTACCAACCGATGCCGGATGAGTACTGGAACGGCAAGATGACAATGGAGCAGATATTCGACGAGCTGAACGTTGCCAAGGATGCGTCGGTGCGGGACTTCGCGCAAGGTCAACTGGGCATTATCCAGCGCCATTTAATCTTGGATACATGTGGCGAGCTCCTGCAACACATGGTGCGCTGGGTGGAGAAGGATGCCGGCCAGCAATCGCCCCACCAACTGCGCTTTATGGCCCACATTGTGTTGTTTCTGCGCCAAATCGGGCGCGTGGAGCAGGAGCGGCAGGCGGAGAAGATCATTGCCGCATATGTGGAGGCCTTGATTGCGAGGGGCGAGCCCCAGCTAATAGCTTACTATGCCGCATCTCTTTCGAATCCGCTGCAGGTGAAGCTGTACTCGCGGTTTCTGGAACAGGTGGAGCAGAAGCGTCAACGGGAGCTAGCTTTGGATGCCGCCTTGCAAGCAGGCTTGGATGTGGAACAGATTACGCGCATCACCGTGGAGAACATTCGCCTGGCCCATCCTGTACACGGGGAATTCGGTGAGCCGCACTCGGGCGAGATCTCTGTGCCCGATCAGCGCAAGATCTCAGCATTGGAGTGGCTAATCCATTTGCCGGAGCAGCGCGGTGAGTTGCTGTGGCAGGCCAACGCCATGATACGCACCTATCTGGCCTGCAGTAAGATGGAGTGCATGCGCCAGACCTTCCGCATGGTGCCGGTCGACATAGTGCAGCAAATAGTCAACTTGTACAGCTCGGTGGACAGCATTCCGCCGCGTGAAGAGTGCTGCCTGAAGGAGTATCTCTGCTACAAGGTGTATCTCTCGGGCGTCGACAGCTTCGTCGAATGGAACCGCCTGCAGCAGAACAGGCCTAAGAAGCCGCAGTCTGCAAACACGGCTTCCATCCAGGACAACTTTACGGAGCGCATGGCAAGTGAGCGCAAGGAGCAGGCCCACCGATCGGAAGTCGTGCGCTGGGAGCACAAGGTTAAGGAGCAGGCCAAGCGTAAGTGAATTGGATCCCTTTATCTTTGATCTTTGGGCAAATAACCCGCGTACTTTCCATGCAGAAACCATCGAAACCCTGTACAATGTGCTCATGTTTCCGGATAAGGGTTGGCTGGTGGATCCGTTCATCGCCAAGCAGCCCGAGAACGCCGTGCAGCTAAACTGGGATCACCGCTTACTGCAGATGGAGAAACTGCGCTCTATCTGCATTCCTGAGATCGCCCTGCTCCTAAACGAAGTAATGTTCAAGTCTGGAGACTTTGCGGGCTGCGTGCGCCTAGCGGATGAGGTCTCCAGCGAGAACCGGCAGTTGTACAAAGTCTATACGAAGCACAAGCTGGCAGAGTTTCTGGCCAAGATCGCCGACGCCTCGCTGGAGCTGCTCAACTCGAAACTGGACCCCTGGGGCTATCCTATAACAATTTAGCAATCCTAGTACATTGTGTGTTTTGCGATTACATTCTAACTTTAAACGTTTATTATTTATTCACTGTTCACTTATTCACCTAAGGAGGAGGAAAATGGCAGGTAGATGGAGGGATTAGGAGTTGTTGTCCACAGCAGCTGCGTTGTTCTCGTCGCACCCGTTGCTATGCTTCAGCAGGTAGGAGGCCAGGAACTGGATCGGATCCGTGGGGCGTTCGCGAGCGAGCGCCTGCATTCCGTGGAGCAGAACCGGCGCCACCGTCTGGTCGAGGTACTGTCGCGTGGGCATGTTGTTTGTCTCGCCACTGGGCTTCTTGGCCACCGCCGGTTGCTGCAGTTGCTGGGCCACTGGATTCGCGGACTGACCAACGGCAGTGGCTCCGGATGAAGGCGCTCCCGGCGGAGCGGTCGGGTTGGCCTGCGCGTTGCTGCTCGCATTTGGCTCCTTGCCAGTTTCTGCCGGCGGATTTGGTGTAGGCGCAGGGGAGATGGGTGCGTCGGTCTTGGCCTCCATAACAATGTCTTCCTGGTGTTCAGCAAATCCCGATTTTCTGCCTGGCGTCTTTGCTGCAGTCCAACAAATTCGATTCGATCAAAATTTACATTCTCGGTCTACAGAGTTGCCACATGCATGTCGGGCATCGATTATTTAAAGTTTAACCGATGTATCGAATACCAGTGATTCCAGTTGGGGTATTCCCTGTCATTATTTTGTAAAAGTGGATTTGCAAATAAAAGCAGTAGGATAACGTAATGCCAAATCAGTTATGGTGTATATATTAACTTATATGAATTTTAATATTCTGGTTTTGGGTACAAACCGTAGATAAGTCTAGGTAAAGAATTTATGTTTTGAAAAGTGGAATAAGTTATCGACGAATGCTCTGTCACGAACGTGACTCGATTGGAAGTTGTCACACTTATCGGGTAAATAATCGACTGTCATCCCCAATCCAATTGAGCCAATTGGGTGAAAATTGGGCCGAAAAACAGAAAAAGTCTCACAGATCAATTAAAATATGACAGAGCTTCTAATTGATCCGGACATCCGCGTGTGGGTGTTCCTGCCCATCGTGCTGATCACGTTCCTGGTGGGAATTGTGCGCCACTACGTCTCCATACTGATTTCCACGCAAAAGAAGGCCGAGATCACCCAGATCCAGGACAGGTGAGAGAACAAAGGGCATTGAGGCACCTTTTAGTGACACCTGCCATTCCATTCACAGCCAGGCGATGATACGGGCACGGTTGCTCCGCGAAAACGGCAAATATCTGAGCGCCCAGAGTTTCTCCATGCGAAAGAACTACTTCAACAACGAGGAGACCGGCTACTTCAAGACTCAGAAACGGGCGCCTGTGGCCCAGAACTCATCCGCCATGCTCACCGATATGGTCAAGGGCAACTTTATTAATGTGCTGCCCATGGTCGTGATCGGTGGCTGGATCAACTGGATGTTTTCGGGCTTCGTCACCACAAAGGTGCCCTTTCCGTTGACCCTGCGCTTCAAGCCCATGCTCCAGCGGGGCGTGGAGCTGGCCTCGCTGGACGCCGCCTGGGTCTCCTCCGCCTCTTGGTACTTCCTTAACGTGTTCGGCCTGCGCTCCATCTACACACTGGTCCTCGGTGAGAACAACCACGCCGACCAGACGCAGGCTCAGGCGGATGCCATGACGGGCGCCGCCATGACCATGCCCCAGGACCCAAAGGCCGCCTTCAAGGCCGAGTGGGAGGCGCTCGAGATCACCGAGTACCACAACGCACTCAAGAACATTGACGCTGACATGCTGGCTATCGCTAGTGCACCTGCGGAATCATCCTAATTAACATATTTTAGCAAATTCACAATTTAACAAAGCAGATTTTGTTTCGAGTCCAAGAGGGTTAAAATAAAGCAAGTTGTATGTATACAATAGGAAATGCCCATTCCCTAATTCTTTATGAAAGAAACACTTTTGATTATGATTGCTATGACTGGAAATTTAAAACATGTGCCACTCCCAGTCGCGTGTCAACAGAATGATAAAAACAAGCAATTATGAAACGTAACTTAATAGTAGGCCTCTTCAGTGGCCTCCGTTTGGGGAGCAGGTTCCTCGGTGGCTGGCTCTGGTGGAGCGGAAGCTGTTGGCGACGGAGCCTTCTGTGGAACAGGTGGCGACGGAGACTTCTGCAGCACAGGCTCCGGCTCACTCATAGGTTCCGTTGCCTCTGGTTCCGTGTCTTTGGAGGGGCCAGCTTCCCCGCGGCCCGTGTTCAAAGGTGACGGAGGACGCGCAGTGGCCTGCACCTTGAACTGCTTCTCCGGTTTCTTCAGGTCCTTTGGCTTGCCCATTAGACGGTAGTCGTTGGGCAACTCTGCCTCTGTGTAGAGCTTATCGGCGAAGTAAATGCGCCGGATACGAACGTTGGCATGCAGCTGCAAGGAGACGGTCTCCAGATAATTGGACCCATAAGCACGTCGCGTGAAGTCGGCCAGGTTGAACTGGATCTGGTTCCAGCCTGGAGACATGCCCATCGGCATGGCCGTGCAAAAGGGCTTCACAGAGGTCTTGCTCTGGAAATTGGACACCCGGAAGCGGCGCATGAAGCGCTGATCGTCTTGAATCTATGGAGGATATACATCATTGTGCAGCACAGTGTTTAGTATAAATTCGAAACACTGACTTACCTTAACTTCGAAGCAGAAGTACTTGTGCATGTTCTTTATCAGGAGTACGAGGAAGGGCAGCTTGATGCCCAGCTGCTCCTTGCATTCGCTGGGGCAGTGTATAAAAGTAGTGGACACATTTGAGCCCATGATCTCGAGCACTAGGGACTTGATGTCCTCATCGTAGATTCGCTTGATGTACCCGTTTTTGGTCTGCCCAATGAACCTTTCTAGAGATGCAGGAGCATTGAATTTCAGATACTCACATAGGAGGACCAGTTATTCAGGGGCGAACTGCCCACGCTATAAAGCACGGTAAGGAAACCTTTTTGGTAGGCTGAACGATACATTGTCGATTGTATATTTTTGAACTGTGTGTTTGGTTTAAACGATCAGGGACCACAAGTGACTGATTTAACACAGCAAACTTAAACTAAATCTAGATTAATTGTAGAATGGATTGTAGGTGACCCAGTGAGCGCGCTCTTGATCTTTTTCGGTTTTGTGGGAGGTAAAGAGGGATTTGTAGACATCGCTGGCCTTGGGATCCTTGGCCACGCTGAAGTCGCTCTTGAGACGCTTCAGTTCGGGATCCTGCATTGCGTTAACAGCGCCCAGTCGTTTGACCTGGGCCACCGCCTTGATTTTTGTGCTAGTGGTGGGTTTCTCCACGACTGCAGACTTGGATGTGGATGCAACTGGCTCTTGTGGTTCTGCTGGCTCAGCTTTCACCTCCACCTTCTTAGCTCCCTTTTTGTCCTTCTTGGAGGACTTGCGTTTGGCTGCACGCATTTCCATCTTGACCCGCATGAGCTCCATGTCCTCCTCGTTGCCATTGAGCACCACCACGTCCTCGACGCTGTAGGGAGCCTGGCACAGCGGACAAGTGCTGGCCACACTGCCTTTGATCTGTTTCAAGGCACGCTCTGACATAACGCATCCGCAGCTCCATAGGGCCACAAAGCGAAATTTGCCGGACATTTCCAGGCCAATCAGCTTGCAGATGTAAGGAGCATGTCGTGTGTCCAGTAGTCCTTCAGTTTTGTCCTCCTCGGTGAAGGCGGGATTGGGTGTGGGATTCAGCTGGCGAATGTCTTTCATGCTCTTCACGTGCGCAGCCGTCTCTGGCATGGGCTCCTTCTCCAGCAGTCGCTCAATGACGCTCTGCTTGGAGTAGAGCCTGCCCATTCCGCACATGGCGATCGGCTCCTGGAGGCTTTGCTGGGTCAAGGTGCAGTGCCGCCAACGGAACTCCCTCTCCGCATCCTTGTCTTTCTGTAGGGTTCAAGAAATGTTATTTAGTCTGGCTATGAGGTGCTTCATTACGTTGACTAACCTGCTCCGGCTTTTGCTTCACGCGCACCAGCTCATCGCGCCTGGGAATCGTTCCGCCATCGCAACCCATGATTATATCCTTATCTGCAGATTTACAAGCTTGGTTGTGGATATTTCTTGTTGGGCAAGCTGGAATGTGCGATTTAAAACCGACTATGACAATTATCAATGGTTTTTCATGTTACACGGAAGATACTCACTCGAAATAAACAAAGGATTTAAATAATTAAATACTTTCTTCTCGTAGTAAATGTAAAAATAAGCAATAACAAGTCTTTTATATACACAATGTCCATAGAGATGGTAAAACACAAAACGGACAACGATTATCGATTACAACGATGATTTTAGAAATCAGTAACGTAATCGATATTATTGGTGTAATAAGCGAAACCAAACTTCTCGTATATCGTATTTATTTAAGTTATCCCTATATTGAAATTGTAAATAAAATAATTAATTTAAAATAATATTACGTGTATCCACTTGTAAGTGGATATTAATTAATATCGAGGTTTTGAAAACTAAAGCAGATGGAGCGAACAACAGCTCGTGTGCAATCCCAGAAACATTCGATTTATCCATCTCCCTCGCGCTCCCTCTGAGTAAGGGGTATCTGATAGTGGACAGACTCAATGACAGTTTTTCTCTTTGTGTTTTTTTCATTTGTGTCAGCTAAGCGGGGAGACTAGACTCCTCCGAAAGCTAAAATTCAGTTTGACCCAGCTTCTGTAATAAAATATCCGCTAAAAAAAAGAACCCAAAAATAATATATGTACCTTGAATTTATTATCGACAGCTTTATCATAGAATTACAACCTACTGAAGACCAGCTCCTACGCGTCCGTAAAGGGGCAGTGCTTGGCATACGGCACATCAATGCAAATGCAACCTCGGGCGCTAAAAGAAAACGGAAATTGGTTAAAAATTATATACAAATGACGATTTTCAATAAACTTACTCATCGGGGGCATCGTTGCCTATGTGGTACTCCCTTAGCAGCGAGGCGAACTCGAAGGGATTCACTTTTCCACTTACTGGCAGCCTCTTGGATCCACTGAGATTCAGGCAGCCATTGGGACACGGCACTCCCATGAACTTCTTGTGCTTGAACGTGGCAGTGGCCAAGTAGCAGATGCTCAAGAAGTGCGAGCACCGAGATTTTCCTGTTGGACACAGAGAGGATTCAGTTTTAATGCAATACTATTGAAAACAATAGGTATATTTTTTAATATAGCCTTACTGATTGGATTTCCTTTGCAGAACGGCTGGATGCGTCCACCGTTGACGCAGTAATTGAGGTGCCCGGAGTTGTCCTCTTGGCCCAGGAATCCGGCATTGGTGTGGATCACCTGGATAACGTTGGCATCGTCGATGGACAACCGGAACTTGTTGCTCTTCATGCGCTCTATTAGAGGCCGTGCGGGATCCAATCCAATGATGCGGTACTGTTTCCGCGTCAAGTGGTTGCTGATCATGCCGCAGATGTGGGCGCCCAGGGAGTGACCCACGCATGTGATCCGCTCCGGAACAGCTCCGTAGTGGGTGAGAAAGGCGTAGATTTGAGCGGTGCACTGCGCCGTTAATCTGGTGTTGATTAGCGAGTGGAGGTAGCACGGATAGCGGGTCAGAGGTCGCCAGTCCACTGTGATGACATTGAAATCGCGGGATAAGTAAGCTAAAAAGGGAAAATGATCTCAATCGGTTTTAATAATTCAATAGATAGATGCACTCACCATCCCTAAGAAATTGCAGGTGAATATCTATGGCAGTTCCATTGAATCCGTGAATTATAAAGACAGTTTCGCGGTGCTTGCTAAATCCACCTTTGTATAGGGACATTGGGTTCTTGACATTTAACGGAATTCCACGACGCGGCCCATTGCTGAAAGTAAATGTAATCATATAAAATAATAATACTGAAAATATATTAATATTATAGATGCCTTTCAGACTATTTAAAATAAATCAAGTTTAATAAATAAAATATGATTGTTTACGAACTTAGCGCAACCAAATTTGTTTTACCTTCTCTGCGTATAAAATTGGTGTTAAAAAGTGTAATTATTTTAACTTAAAAAAATACTGTTTTAAATTAATGGCAATAGTAGTTTACAGATATATCTGGTTTCTTTTGCCCATCATTTAAATAGAACAATTGAAATTCCATGTGTGTATAAAACCGTATAAACCTCTCATGCAGCAAGTACTACAAAGTGATCATGGTATTCTAACTCTTAATTAAAATTCGAGCTAATGATAATGAAAAAATTCGTTTAAAGTTTATCAAGTGGAGAGCTTTACAGCTATGAGTTAGAATATATCAACAATTATGAGCCGAACGGTTTCCAGAAACTCCTAACGAGACTAAATAGTTGTAGAAAGCAATTTGTATTCCTTCTTAGAGTTCCCAGAACGGAGGTGTCAATCCGGTAATTTTCCGCTGTTATACAACCGTCAATCAGCGTCTCGAGTCTCGTAAAAGCTGAACATCATGTAATCCCCCAGTTGTTAAATGTTACCACGGCAATTACCCGTCTGCTCTCCAAAAATGGACTTCACCAGTTGCGACTTTGTCTCGCCTCCAGAGTTGGAGTTAATCTTGCCCAGACAAGTTGGGCAAATACCAAGGAGCCGTTTACAAAGCATTTTATTGGCATTGGCCATTGAAATTGATGTCATCGCTGGCCAAGATTGGTGGTCAATGTGGAAAAAGCGGTCCTCCTTTGGCAAAAGCATCTCCTCCTTAGTGGGTCAGTGGCTGGTTTCGAGAAACGGGTTGCTCGCCCATTAATTGCACTCTTATTTTTTTCCTGCTTTTTGCCGATTAATATCCTTATGGTTGCAGAAGTGCACTGGGACAAGTGTTTCGGCAGTTGACATACTAACCGAGTCCGAAATTCCAGAAAGTCCTAACACCTGAGGAACTTTCTCCCCCGCCAGCGACTAAATTATTAATATAAGCTGTCAAACTTACGTCTTGATAAACATAGATAAACAAATTCTAGTGCTTTCGACCTGAATTTTTGAATTAAAAATGACTGATTTAATACTATAAAAATATATATGTATTTACAAACATTTTTATGAGTATTCTATGGACTTAATACCAATTTAAAAGAAAAATAGCACCGTCTAACTTAATTCTGCTCAAAAAGGAATATTACTTTGGGACTTTTGAAAATATCTTTTATTATTTCGAACTCAATATTTAAAAAGAAAGCAGCCTTGCTGAAACCAAGCGAACTTACGGAGCATACAGACGGTGATCGATATGTGGACTGGGACAATAGTTTTTGTCCCGCAAAAAGCAGCGTAAGACATTTAGGTCCAAGGCTCCACTGTTGCGCAGATTCTTCCAATCCATTTGGCTTAGGAGCAGTGTTTGTGCATCTGCAATTGCATTTCGTGGGTCTTAAATTCATTGCCCTTGCAAAAAACTCTTGAAAATGTGTAAATGATCAAGAATTTTGAACAGAACCACAAAAACTAAGTATTTGTGTAATTCATTCTTGTTAGCTTGATCAACTCATTTTAGGTGGAATAAGTTTAGGTATTTTACCTTTGGCAAAGAGTGAGAATATGCAAAGCACGACGATTTGTTTCATTTTTATTTGTTACTTTTTCTTTATTTATTTATTAAGGTAATTAAAGCCAAAATAAGAATTTGAATGGTTTTTGTTTATGTTTACATCAGATACATATGTCACATTATCACCACACTGACTGGGTAATTATTTTTATTCAAATTTTGAAAATGTTCATAATTGAGGTTATTAATAACTCATGCATATAAAATTAGATACATATCTTTCAAAATTTTTAAAATAATTTAAATTTCACTTAAAGGCACCACAACATTTTTTTAAATCAACTAAAACATTTAAATTCAATTACTGATTTGTTCACGAAATAACGCGGGCATTTATATTTTCATTTATAATGAGTTATTTTTCCGAGGATATTTGGCCTTCCTCTTTGCGATTTTTCATCGCCTTTCACATATTTCGTATAATTCAACCAGATTCCACTGCGCTTTTCCGTTTAAATTGACAGTTTGCACTCAGATTACATGTTTCTTTAATTGATATCCATTTGTGTTTGCCAAGCGATTTCATTGTAATCCTTTGCATTGAGATTAGCAATTTTGATTTTTCGCGAGCAATCCGCACCACGTCTTGCAGATTCGCGCTGCGCGCTGCAAATGCGCTGCAAAAGCGCGAAATGCGCAGCGAAGGAAAACGCAGCAGACGCCTGCAGAAGCAGCAGCAGTAGCAGCAACCACAGCAACAGGTGCTGCTGCAGCAGCGGCAACAGTAAAAACTGGCCTAAGAATGGCTCAGCCCACCGCCGTTGCCTTGACTTTGCCCAGCTCCGACTCAAAACGTGAACGACTTTGGCTAATATCTGAATAATGTTGGTGCTGCTTTTGCTGTTGTGTTGCCTTCATTGTTGATGCAATTGCTTCTGCAATTGCTGCTTTTGCTGCCAGGCGACGTCTATGAAACGAAAATCAACGGCACACGCAACGCTGCACTGATTTTGATTATGAGTTTTCGGTTGGAAATGGGAGCTTTCGGTTTCGTTTCCCAGCTCAATGCCATTGCCTTTTCATGGTGTCTGCGGTTTGTAATTCATATGTTTATTATTTACATAACATTCGCATTTAATGCAAATTCTTATAATTTTATTCGACGACAATTGCCAAGTTTGTTTCCTAAGTCATTCGTTTTAGCTATGCGATTGTGTAGTTTTATCCGATTTGTATCTTTTTGGTGACTAGCTAGCCTTTCATATTGCGCTCGTTTCATGGTCCAAGGCCAGGAAAATAGAAGGGCGATGTCAGGGATAAAATGGGATCATTTATAAAGCTAATCTGGATCGCGGAAAAGCGAAAGATTGGAATGTTTTTTTGGCTTTCGCTTTAGAGGTCTTACTGCGTATCAACTTGACAGAATTTCTGTTTATTTAGATGACCGGATTACTTTTCCGGTTATTCATCCATTTAAAGCTAAGTCTAGTTGTTTATAATGCATTATTTTGGTTAAGATAAACACCGGTTGTAATGCTTATTTAATAAAAACCGCTCTGACTCGAACTCTATTTGTCATGATATTTTTTCCTCAAAATAATTTAGTCACATAATCATTTCAAAGGAAATATTTTCTATTTTTTGATTTGTTTTGAAGCATTTCTCCCACTTTCACATTTCTCACTTTACTTACCTTGTAAACAGCTGATAATCTATAAATCGCTTGGGGCACGTTTCCCACAATAAAATGTGACAGTTAAGTGGATTCAAGTCGAAGTTTCCATTGCGCAACAAGAATTGCAGTGCCTCTCTGTGGTATTTGGCTATAAAAAAGGAAACCAGCTAAGCACACAAATCACAATCCTTATCGGCGATGCGATCTTCTTCTCTTACAAGCCTTCGTAATGGGGTTTAGGGAAAGTAGCGATAGCAGCAGCACGATAGTGCCCGTCAGCATTTTGTCTATATGAACTCCGCATTTAAATTGGTATCACGGAGGAGGCCGCGACACATCGGGTTAAATCCGTCTAATTGAATGAGCCATTCGCATCGGGTACTGCCAAACTAAGGAGCCAAGAGCTTTTAAAAGCTGCATCCGCACTAGAAAATGGAAAACGAATGAAAATCGCCGAAAATTGACACTCACGAACGACCCGGCGCCATCTGTGGATTGGGTGACATTGCTCTGTGGGGAGGCACCAGGCGGCTGTTTTTATATTTTGGTCTCGTGTGCACAGAAGTTGCGTGTAACCGAACTACGATTTCCATACGGCCAGGTGCACTGAGGAAAATGGAGTAGTCTTTTCAAAAAGTTAATATCCAATATCAAAGGTAAGAAAAAAAAAAATTATATATCTAAAATGATCCCTCTATATGCAGATCATCAACAAATAAACAATGCATTTAACTATTATTAGAATTTTCATCGTTCGTGCTAACTGAAATACATAAGTTTTATAAGTCCCACAGTAAATATTTATGTAAGTTGAGAGTGAGTTTGCTCAGATTTGAATCGATTAAAATTATTAAAAAAAATCATTACATTTTTCAAGCTTCATAAGTGTTATGAAACTTGATTATTCTTTCCATCACTTTTCATATACACTTTTGTAAATTAAATGGTAAATAGCTTTTGGTAAAGTTTAAATAACTATTAAATTGTAAAAATATAATAAACATTTCCTTTCATTTTCCACTTAATAACAGGCCAATTTTTTGGGGTGTAAAATCATATTGTCGACTCGTGTAATAACGTTTCGCAAATTGTCCATACATATGTTTTTAAATGACTATTGATTGCAAGATTTGGCCACCTGCAGGCTCCTCTATCCACAGCAATAAAGAATAAAAATAATTAAAAAAGCTTAGCATTTCATAAATAGCACACAAATAAATTGTTGAACTGATGTCGGTGGGTGTTGAAAGTATGGTAATGATCTTAAAAATATCAACGCTATCACGCGACATTTCTTTTAAAATGTGATATATATCAATCAGATAAAATGTCGAGGTTATAAGTTGAAATTAACAGATTGACTTGTTAAATTGCTGGCTACCCCTTCAAGTGCAGCATTGCGATCCAATTAAGAAAGTCCGATGAACTCCACCTTTGAGTCCAATTTAAAAGGCAGGCCAAACAATTTCCCTACACCTTAGCTAAAAAAGTGGGCAGGAAAAGCGACAGCACTTAATTCTGACCACGAGAGGGGAAACAGATCTGAGTAACGAAAAAGAAAGACCCGGGGTCCAAAATGACATCAAACTTTTTTCTACCGGCAGGCGGCGATTTTCCAAACCAAAGTAAACAATGTTGAGTCTGCGGCTAATGCATCTAATTGAAAGTAATGAGCTTGTTGCCCTACAACACCGCAAAACGGGGCTAAAGTGAACTGGAGGCAGCAAAAACGTTTTTCGTGGGTTTTTGATATAGTAAAGCCATTCGAAGAAAAGGAAAACATATACAACGAAAACGGAACCGAAGCACAGACAAGAAAAACGTCAGATACATTTTCCTCTCTATTTATGTTGCAGTTTGTTGCTCTATTCTTTCACTATAATACTTTCACTATAATACTTTAATATTCAAGGGCCTAACATAATAGCTGTAAAAATGTTTGTCTTTTGAACAATGATAATAGCTATATTTTTGTTTCAGTTGCTGACTCTAGATGTGTATAAAAAGAGTATTTGTTATTCCAGTTTGCACCTTCATTTTGGCCTTTTCTTTTGTTGTCATGGTTGTATATCTCAGCCAATTTGCTGTTACTGCATCTTTGTGCATTTGGTGCAATACCTTGAGTTGTTCATTCATCTGGTTGCAGTTGGCGAAGAATAAGTGCCAATTGCATAACATTTTCCCAGACTGCACTGATACGAACTAGTTATAATTCACACCCCGATTTTATCTGCCAGCTATTGCCTTGTGGGCTAAAGCATAACCCTTTTAATTATTACTTGAATTATGATCAAAATGTGCCTTATTGTCTCGCCAATTAAATGTGTTGCAATTGGTTTTTCTATGCAGACTTCAATAATATTTTGGTTGGCAATTAATTAATTTACAAATTAAACAATTTTTGCATTTTCTTTCGCAAATTACACATATTGCTGATTAATTGACCATGAAGAATTTGGGCTTCATTCACTCTCATAATTTTCCCATAAAGTTTGCCAAGTTATGGGGCATAACGCCGGATGGATGCTTCCGTGAAATTTACAGAAGTGTTAATTTTTAAAAGAAAATACCTCAAGTAATACAAATAACTTTTACTTAAATATTTTTTTCTTGCATTGGGTTGCAAAACAAGTCGCAGTTTTATAAAACTATCTATCTATCTAAGAAGTATTATCAAAAGTTAAATATATTACATGTTGATACTTTACTTATATGAATTTATATAATTTTAATTTTATCTTTAAAATTAGTTCTTTAAATATTAAAAAGTAATATAGCAGGCAGTCAATGGTGCAGATCCTTACTAAATATTAACATATGTTGTTAACAGAAAGCTTACCGAATTACTCAACCAGCTTACAGAGCTTTCTCCGAAAATCACTATACCTTAAATAAATATATTCTCTTATTATTTGTAAAGTGATTTTAATTGTATGTATTTGATGGTATAAATATATTTTTCATCAGCGATTCGATATTTCAGTTAGCTCCCAAAATAAGTGCGAAAATAAATGGGAGAGATTTCAATTTGTTCGTAACTGCCCTTTAAATCCGAATTCGTTAAAAGAAGTAAGGCTTTGGATGTTTTATTTTTCTTTAATAATGCAGGCTCTCTAAAGAATAATAAAACGACCTAAACCCCTAAATATATTTTTTCTACCCAGAAATGGTACATTTCCTCTTCAACTCAAGGCTTTTCAATTCCAATTTAATTTACTCTTGAGCAGTTATATAATCTTCCTTAAATGACGAACTCGAGAATGGAATTCCACTGAATCGGTTCATTACTTATGCAAGTCGCAATCAATTTTCAATTTCTTGCCTATTTCCAACAAACTCCATGGAAAATAATCAGAAAAGCTTTGCCTACTTTCGAATAGTTTTAAACTTGGCCAGAACTTACGATGCTTTTCAGCGAGTCTAATCAAAATGGGCCATAAATTCCGGGAAAACCGGGAGGGAGTGGAAAATTGCGCCTTGCTTTGTTTTTGCCTTTGCTTTTGCTTTGGCGCAACTTTACTAATTAATTGTGCACTTGAGAATTTTTGAGTAAACTCTGAAACTTAGCTGCTACGGCACAAAATATCCATTGGGAATGGCAGGCAGTGTGTGTGAGGTGTTTGGCTCTGGCAAAGTTGACGAGTAAATAAACTAACAATTTTTCCTACTTAATTAACAAAATTGTTTTAATACTTCATCTCCATCACCGTCACTATTCCCATCTCCATTCCCGCTGGAGTTGCCAAGTGAGGCGTTAAGCGGCGGCGATGCCGTCAACATTGGCAGACTGACTGAATGACAAACTGGCTAAATGACTGCGCAAACAAACCCCAAGTACGTCGGAGTACGGCAATAATTAAACTTGTCACAGTACACCTGGCCCGGGAAGGGGCTTCGGCCAAAAGGATAGAGCAGTCGGGCTAGAAGGATGGATCCTGCAGCCTATGAGCAAAAATTCCTTAGTATGCCAACCGAAGTTGTTGCATTTGAAGATACATGGCAACCAAATTAGTTCTC